CTGCTCTCACTCGCACGATCCCACGCCAAACCCTCCATTCTGACAGAGGTGATGTGGGGTGGTTGGACGGGCCAAATCTGAGTGAGTGATGTTGCGACCTGGTGCATGGAGTTGCGGGGGGGCCCATGCAAGTGCACCTAGTTCACATTGGCTAGTCCAATAAGCATTTCCTTCTGCAAGGCAGCATGGTGTAGTGGTTTGCCCACTGGACTGGGCCCCTCGGTTCCATTCCTACTTCCAGCACTGACTTTGGGCAAGCCTTGTCTGCCTGCTGAGCCTCAGTTTCCCCATGTGTGCAAGGGAGAGCAGAATATTTGCATATTCCTTCATCAGGTGCTCTCTGACAGGGAGTGGAGAGGAAATCTGATCTATTATTGTGGGGAGGGGTTTGTGAGCCTGTGAATTTGGGTGGAGGGTGGAGGGAGTGGACCTACAGGGCTAGAAGGGCCAATGGCCTCATACATTGCAGAGGAATGGGCAACAGGGGATGGATCACTTGATGATTACCTGTTCTGTTCATTCCCTCTGGGGCACCTGGCATTGGCCACTGTCAGAAGACAGGACACTGGGCTAGACAGACCTTTGGTCTGACCCAGTATGGCCGTTCTTATATTCTTAAGACTGCTCAATGACGATGGTAAATTTCTGCCTAATTTGGCAACAGTATCAACATCTTTACATGAACCCTTACAAGAAAAAAAAAAAAAAAAACCCCAAAATGGAAATGGACTAAAGACTGAGTTTGCATCGGACGGAAATTGCTGATCTCATCTGAAGTTCTTACGCACTTTGACGCCTCGCTACTGCTGTAATTGGCTTGCGATGCTTCACAGTAGAGGGTGGGTACAGTTCTTTCCCGCCTCTTTTTCCAGGTGGCTGGGAGAAACCCATTGCCTTGGCTCCTGAGAAGAACTACACACAAACAGAGCGAGGAGCTCCCGGTGTTATCTGCAGGATTCCGAAGTGCCATACCTGTCTATGCAGTAGCTATTTTACCTTGCTGACTGTGACCGGATGGCTGGATGGGCCACACTGAGGATGCCACACTCAGGGCAGACTGCAAGAAATAGGGCAGACCCTTGCCACAAAATGCTGGTTTATTCTATAATTAGCCAGTAACAAAAGAGCTTCCGTAGTACCACACTGGCTAACAAGAAGCCAGCTTAGTCCCCTTAAGAAATTTCAGCCCTTGGCTCCCATCTAGACAAACAGGTCTAATAGAGTGGGAGGTTACTGAAAACCTGATTTACCGTATGGGAAGCTCACCAATCCCAAAGGCCCAGACACTTATCCCCAGGTCAATATGAGTCTCAGATCTTACCCAAATACCATGCGGCCAGCTAATCCTTAATAAGAGGATGCAGATCAAATAAGCTGAAGTATATTTTGTGGCTTAGGAAGGGCACGTGCCAATGGCAGGGAAATCTGTCTGTCTGCCTGCAGGTCTGTCACAGGGTAGCTGGCCCCAGCAATGAAGCAGACCCTGCTCCCCTGGGCCGGTGCTCTCAGTTTGGCCAATTAAGAGTTCAGGGCAGCTCATGAGGGGTGGAGAGGATCACGGAGGATATGAGAGAAGAGAGACCCAGTGAGATAGAGACTTAAAGGCTAAAGGGAGGAGATCAGCCAGAGGGGTTTGCCGGCTGACCTCCCCAAGGGCTGGATACAGCGGGTGGCAGGTGAGCAGCAGAGGAGATCCCCCACTGACATCTCCAGGGCCTGAGAGCTGGAACCCAGGGAACAGAGCGAGGGCCAAGGGCGTGAAACGCCCAGAAGAGAGGCTGTGGAAAAGTAGGGGTGATATAGACCATGGTTGGGGTAGTTTGTATAGACTATTTACATTATGATTTGTAATAAACGGTGTGACACCCTGGCACCCGCATATTCACCACTGTCATGTATTTAGGATGTGCTTTGTACAAAGGATGCCTTGGGAGGTGTCATTCTAAAAGTCCTGATCTGCTAGGCAGTAATATCTCGTTGGATGATGTGTGCTGTCGTTGCGTGTGAAGTGACGAAGTTTGGCGATGTGTGTGTTACTGAAACCTGACGTGAGGTTGAAAACACCCACAAGAAGCCTTTCGGGTACAACAGTCAAAAGGCCAAACAATGTGACTGGCTTATTGAGGAAACGCACACAAGCACGAGGATGACCCCAGGAACTGTGGACAACAGAAACCTCTCCAAGCTAGCACTACACAACAGGAACTGTTTGTCCCAGGTCACAGCAAAAGAGCTTTCCAGCAAGTGGGAAGAAGAAATAAAAGGGGGAAATGACATCATGAGGGGACCTCACTCCCCCTACAACAACACGCCTGGAAACACCTGAGGAACAAAGACTGGACTGTGGGAAGTGATGGTCTCAAGCTAAAGGGATTTCTAGCCTCTGTATGAAAACCTGGGAAACCCAAGCTGCAAAGCCAAGGCAGCTTGTGCCTTAAGAATGTGCCAGTCTTTTTATCACTCGGGGAGAATTTGCTAATTCATATTCTACCTATCTAGTGTGTTAAGCTCAGTTTGCGGTTTTGTTTATTTACTAGGTAATCTGCTTTGATCTGTTTACCATCACTTAGAATCACTTAAAATCTATCTTTTGTAATTAATAAACTTATTTTATGTTTTAATCCAAACCAGTGTGTGTTTGACTAAGGTGTCTGGGGAAAATCTTGGCCTGGTTACCACAAGTGTGTATGGACCTCTTCACATTGAGAGAGAAGCAGACCAGGTATTAAACCCATGTACTGGCCAGATTTGACCAGGCAGGATGGTACTGCTCTGGGGTCTTAGGTGGGAGGCTGGTGGTTAGAGAGTCTGCATATAATTGCAGCTGGGTGTGTCCCCACCCGTGTGAACGCTGGTGAAAGTGCAAGCTTGGAGGGTTTTGAAACTTGTCTCAGCAGCACAGTCTGAGAGGGAGCCCAGGCTGGTGGGTCAGAGGGCTCAGTGGTACCCCATTTCCAGGTGGCACCCTGTGGGTAAACCCATCACAGATGGGTCTCCAGGAGGGGTATGATTTCATCAACAGAGCCTGGTATAGCGTCCGTACGTTACCTGAGAAGGGAAACTGAGGTAAGAGTGCTTGTCACGCTGGGACCTGCTGCCAGATAGTGCTTTGGGTGGCGTCCCTTTATCTCTCATCCTCATTCAGTCTGACATCCTCATTCAGTCCCTTCTCTTCACAATGCCACATTTAAAACTTTTATTTTGCATTCATACAAATAAATTATCCCATCCACACATATAAAATTTGGAAGGGAGGAGAGGGGGAGAAGAGAAATCTAAAGAGAGACAGACCATGGCTAGAAAGACAAAGTCAGTGATGGTTGTCAGATGGCTGCACAACTCAACTGTTCTTTGAAACTGTTCTTGTTTTTAGCAAGAAAAAGAAAGAAACAGTCATAATAACAAAGCCCTCATCAGCACATTGGATGGCAGTCGGTTCATAAATGCACTGGATCTCTGGCAAGTGTTTCTGCAAAGTCACAGCAAGCTGGGGAGCAGCTGGAGTTTTCAAACACAGACTCATGAATCTCACAAAACTGGGTGACTGAGCAACAAAATGGCAGATGAAATTCACTGTTGATAAATGCAAAGTAATGCACACTGGAATACATAATCCCACCTATACATATAAAATGATGAAGTCTGTTCACCCCCTCTTTTACCACTCAAGAAAGAGATCTTGGAGTCATTGTGGAGAGTTCTCTGAAAACATCCATTCAGTGTGCAATAGCAGTCAAAAAAGCAAACTGAATATTGGGAATCATTAGGAAAGGGATAGATAATAAGACAGAAAATATCATGTTGCCTCTATATAAATCCATGGTACATCCACATCTTGAATACTGTGTGCAGATGTGTCGCCCCATCTCAAAAAAGATATATTGGAATCGGAAAAGGTTCAGAAAAGGGCAACAAAAATGATTAGGGGTCTGGAACAGCTTCCATATGAGGAGAGATTAGTAAAACTGGGACTTTTCAGCTTGGAAATGAGATGACTAAAGTGGGATGTGATAGAGGTCTATAAAATCATGACACGTGTGGAGAAAGTAAATAAGGAAGTGTTGTTACCTCCTTCTCATAACACAAGAACTAGGGGTCACCCAATGAAATTAATAGGCAGCAGGTTTAAAACAAACAAAAGGAAAAAAAAGTTATTCACCTTCTCGTAACTCTTGTTCTTGTCCATTCCAATCAGGTGTGTGTGCGTGTGTGCACGGCAGCTGGAAGTTTTTCCTCCTAGCAATATCTGTCGGGTCGGTGTGGGCGCCCCCTGGAGTGGCGCCTTCCTGGCGCTCAATATAGGGCCCTACTGAACTGCCTCAGTTCCTTCTTGCTGGCTACTCCGACAGAGGGATAGGTGGGTGGGTATTGGAGAACAAGACTTACGAGAAGGTGAGTAACCATTTTTTCTTCTTCGAGTGATTGTTCATGTCCATTCCAATCAGGGGACTCACAAGCCTAAGTTATGGAGGCAGGGTGGGAGCTGTCCACTGACTGGAGAACCGCTTGTCCAAAGGCCGCATCGTCTCTGGCCTGCTGGGTAATCGTGTAGAGCATAGTGAAAGTGTGCATGGAGGACCATGTCGCTGCTCTGCAGATTTCCTGAGTTGGGACTTGCACCAGGAACGCTGCTGAAGAAGTTTGTGCCCTAGTGGAGTGCTCTGCGAGTGGAGAGGCGGGCACCTCTGCCAGGTAATAGCATTCATGGATGCAGGACGTGATCCATGAGGAAATTAGTTGGGAGATTGAAAGACCCTTCATCCTGTCTGCCACGGCCACAAACAGTTGAATGGACTTTCGGAACGGCTTTGTTCTCTCAATGTAGAAGGCTAGCGCTCTGTGGACATCCAATGAGTGCAACCTCTGCTCTCCGCCGCTCGAGTGCGGCTTAGGATAGAACAGTGGGAGGAAGATGTCCTGGTTGATGTGAAAATGGGAGACAACCTTCGGGAGGAAAGACGGGTGGGGCCTGAGCTGAACCTTGTCCTTTATAGAACACGATGTACCGGGGCTCTGATGTCAGGGCTTTGAGCTCTGACACCCTCCTGGCTGAGGTTATCGCTACCAGAAATGCCACCTTGTATGACAGGTAGAGCGGGGAACACGTCGCCAGTGGTTCAAAGGGCAGACCCATCAATTTGGAAAGGATCAGATTGCAGTCCCAGGTCAGGGTTGGTTGCTGGATGTGCAGATATAGCTTGTCGAGACCCTTCAGGAAACGGCTGACCATAGGGTTGGCAAACACCGACCGGCCCTCTGAGCCTGGATAGAAGGCAGAGATGGTGGCCAAGTTAACCCTTATTGACGACATGGACAGTCCCTGCTGCTTGAGATGGAGAAGACAGTCCAGTATAAGTGGTATAGAGGTGAGCGTCGGGGATGAGTGATGCTGCACCAACCAGATTGAGAATCTCTTCCACTTGGCCAGGTAGGTCGCTCTGGTGGAGGGTTTCCTACTGCCAAGGAGGGCTTGTCTAAACAGGTCCAAGCAGGAGAGCTCTGTGGGGTTCAGCCATGGAGCTTCCATGCCGTGAGGTGGAACAACTCAAGGCTCGGGTGCTGGAGACAGCTGTGATCCTGAGTTATTAAGCCCGGAAGGAGCGGCAAGGTAACTGGGGCTTCCACGGACATTTCCAGGAGAGATGTGTACCACTGTTGGCGGGACCAGGCTGGAGCTATCAATATCACTGAAGACTCCATATCTTGAGGAGGACCTGTACTGGGAGGTGCCGAGGGTCCACACCGAGGGCTCAGGGACCGATGAGGTTGCTGACCCTGTTCTGATGCTGGGGAGCGGTGCTCCGGGGATGGAGACTGCCAGGCCATCATTGCAGGCTTTCCCCTTGGCGGTGCCCAGGGAGCGACTTGTGCAAGCGACCTCTCCCGTCTAGGCAGGGAGAACAGTGCCGTGAGCTGGAGCGGGTCCCATGCTGCCTCAAATGCCTCCAGGGTCGATGAGAGGTGTAGGTGTCGGCTCAGCCTCGGTGAGCAAGAAGGGTCCAGACTTGACCGCCCTTCCTTGGGGGCAGGAGTTGACACGACCATCTCTGGCAGTGGGGCCGAAGTAGTGTGCCCAACTCGAGTCTCACAACGGCTGGCTCCTTGGGTCTAGCCGGGGGGAAACGACCCTTCTCTGGCCTCCTCTTCTTCTGCGGCATTGGCGACTGAGACCGGTGCCTACCTGCAGCCTGTGAGCCACGAGTGGAGCCATGATGGTGCTGAGAGACCTTGCCTTTACTCGGCACTGATCCCCATGCCGACAGTGCCGGGGCACTGCGTACCAAGGAGGAGGTACTCAGCGCCAGGTCCGCTGACCCAGGGTCAGACTGGGTCTGGAGTGCCACTTCCATTAGTAGGATCTTCAGGAGCTGATCTCTATCTTTCAGTGTCCTGGGATGAAACCCCCTGCAGATCCTACAGCGACCCCTTTGATGGCTCTTCCCCAAAGACTTCAAACACGAAGCGTGAGGATCGCTTCTGGGCATACACTTGCCACAGACCTCACAGGCTTTGAAGACAGGAGACCACGGCATGCCCCAGCACTGGGATACCGCAGGAGGAGAAACTCCTCCAAAGGAAACTTAAGAACTAAGTAAAGTACCTACTAACCTACTTAACACTAACTGCATCTGATGAAGTGGATTCTAGCCCACGAAAGCTTATGCCCAAATAAATTTGTTAGTCTCTAAGGTGCCACAAGGACTACTCATTGTTTTTACAAAACTAATGAGAACTATATACAGACTGCCAAAGGGGAAGTTCCAACTAACTGTCACTGGCGGTAAGAAGGAACTGAGGGGGTGGTCGGTGGGTAGGGCCCTATATTAAGCACCATGATGGTGCCACTCCAGGGGGCGCCCGGACTGACTTAATAGACACTGCTAGGGGAAAAATCTTCCGGCTGCCATGCGCACAAGCACATACATCTGATTGGAATTTACATGAACAAGCATGCGAAGAAGAAGTATTTCTTCACACAACGCACAGTCAACCTGTGGAACTCCTTGCCAGGGGATGTTGTGAAGGCCAAGACTATAACAGTGTTTAAAAAAAGAACTAAATAAGTTCATGGAGGACAGGTCCATCAATGGCTATTAGCCAGGACGGGCAGGAATGGTGTCCCTAGCCTCTGTTTGCCAGATGCTGGGAATGAGCGACAGGGGATGGATCACTTGATAATTCCTTGTTCCTTTCATTCTCACTGGGGCACCTGGCATGGAAGACAGGATACTGGGCTAGATGGACCTTTGGTGTGACCCAGTATGGCCGTTCTTATGTACGGAGGTTCCCCAGTCAATCCCCTGTGCGTTGGCCAAGGTGGTGTCCATTACATGACAGCATAGAGCTTTGCCCAAGAGGCTTCTGGGGGAGGAGAGGGATGAGAGGACATGCCCCCGCTAAACCTCGTTCTGTCTGCGGTAGGTTCCTCCACCTGGGCAGGATGTTCGCCAGAGTCACCACCCGGCGCCTCCATGGCACCGTGCCACCCCCTCCCGGCAGGACCCACGTGCTCCTCCTCTCCAGCCGGCACAAGGGCTCCCCCTTCGCTGGCCAGCTCTTCAGCCAGCACCCCAACGTCTTCCACCCGATGGAGCCGGCCAAGCATGTCTGGCACCGCCTGCCCAGAGGCAGCCTGGAGATGCTGCAGGGGCCCGTCTGGGACCTGCTCTGTGCCCTCTTCCGGTGTGAGATGGCCGCGCTGCAGGACTTTGTGCTGCAGCCCCGCCAGGCATCCCAGATCTTCATGTGGCCCACGAGTCAGGCCCTCTGCTCCCCACCCACCTGCGAGGCCTTCCGGCGTGGGGACATTGTGAGGCCGGCGGATTGCCAGGTCCACTGCGATGCCAGCCCCTTCGGGAAGGTGGCAGAGGCCTGCATCACCTACAGCCACGTGGCGCTGAAGGTCATCAGGTTCTTCCAGCTGGAGGCGCTCTACCCGTCCTTGGCCGACCCAGCCCTCAACCTCAGCATCACCCACCTGGTGCGGGACCCCCAGACCATCTACACCTCCCACCAGCTCATCTCGCTGTACCCGGACAACTTGCTCACCAGCTGTCCCACAACGCGACGCCCAACGCCCAGCTGGCCATGCGCAAAGTCTGCCACAGCCAAGCCAGCATGTACGTGGCCGCCTTGTACCACCCACCTCCTGCCCTGTGTGGATGCTACCTCCTGACTCGCTATGAAGACCTGGTCTGGGATCTGCTGGGCCAGGTGGCCGATCGGTACCGCTACGCCAGCTTGGCCTCCTACCCCCGGCTCAAGGCCTGGGTGCCCAACATCACCCACTGGTCCGGGCCTCTGGACCCCGAGGTCCTCCCAGTGTGGAGGGATGCCAGCAAGGTCTCGCAGGCCTGGAGGCACCAGCTTACCTTCCACCAGGTGCAGGAGATCTGCAAGCCAACCATGGAGGTCTTTGAGTACTGGCTGGTCAGCTCGGAGGAGGAGCAGAGGGACCTCATGAAGGACCTGGTGCTTCCAAGAGAAGAGATTGAGGCTCAGACAACGGGCTGGGGTGTCTTCTCTGATCTGCACTGAGGATTCAGCGCAATGGGTTGGACGCTTGGATAAGGAGGAGCTGCCTCCCTGAGCGGAGAACCTGCCAGGCAACGACTCGGACACTTGTCCCGTGATTTTCCCACAAACCAGGGAGTGGATGGCAGTGGCAAAGCTCCACTGGAATCCCCACTGATCAGTCAGGAAATGCAATCCCAGCTATACACGCTTCTGGGGAGCCAGGAATAGAACCCCTGTCCTGCAGCACTAAACACACAGGACCAACTGACCTATAGAAGAGCTGTCCTGCTGCTAGATCCTTTAGCCTCCCTGCAGAGACAGCTAGTCAATGGGGCGAGGAGCCAGGACTTCTGGGTTCTATCCCAGCTTTAGGGGGTGGGAGTGGGGTCTAATGAGTTAGAGCAGCATATTCGTCCTGGATGCTAAACCTGGCCCTGCCACAGAGTTGCTGTCTGACCTTGGGCAAGTCACTTAACCACTCTGCACCTCAGTCTCCCCATCTGTCCTAGACATTCACACACATCATGGCTTGTGCGGGCTGAGGTCCCTGCTCCCACCAGGGGCTCCCTCTATTCCCTCCCACAAGTTCCCTGTGTGTACCCCTCTCCTCTCCCTCTGTTTCAGGGACTCTCTGCAACTCACACCAGGGGCTCTGTGTCTCCCCGTTACCCCCTCCCTACATTTCAGGTCATAGGCGCCGACTCCATGGGTGCTCCAGGGCTGGAGCACCCATGGGGAAAAATTAGTGGGTGCTCTGCACCCACCGGCAGCCAAGCTCCGCAACCCATCTCTTCCCCTGAGCGCGCCGTGTCCCCAATCCTCCGCCTACCTCCCAGTGCTTCCCGCCTTGCCACTGCCAAACAGCTGTTTGGCGGTGTGCTTGGAGGGAGGGGGAGGAGCGGGAACATGGCACACTCAGGGGAGGAGGCGGGGAAGAGGCAGGGCCGGGGCGAGGATTTGGGGAAGGAGTCGGGAGAGCGGGGGGGGGGGGGGCTGGGCTGGCGGGGGCTGCGGGTCAGGAGTGAGGGGCACCGGGAGAGCGGGGGGAGGCTGGCAGGGGGCTGGGCTGGCAGGGGGCTGCAGGTCGGGAGTGAGGGGCACCGGGAGAGCGAGGGGGGGGATGGGCTGGCAGGGGGCTGCGGGTCGGGAGTGAGGGGCACCGGGAGAGCGGGGGGGGGCTGGCAGGGGGCTGCGGGTCGAGAGTGAGGGGCACCGGGAGAGCAGGGGGGGGCTGGCAGGGGGATGGGCTGGCGGGGGGCTGCAGGTCGGCAGTGAGGGGCACCAGGAGAGCGGGGGGGGGCTGGCAGGGGGCTGCGGGTCGAGAGTGAGGGGCACCGGGAGAGCAGGGGGGGCTGGCAGGGGGATGGGCTGGAGGGGGCTGAGGTCGGGAGTGAGGGGCACCGGGAGAGGGGGGGGGATGGGCTGGCAGGGGGCTGGGGTCGGGAGTGAGGGGACCGGGAGGGGGGGGTGGAGGGGGTGCGGGTCGAGAGTGAGGGGACCGGGAGGAGGGGGGGGAGGGGGATGGGCTGGGGGGGCTGAGGTCGGAGTGAGGGGACCGGGAGGGGGGGGTGGAGGGGGGGGGTCGAGAGTGAGGGGCACCGGGAGAGCAGGGGGGCTGGCAGGGGATGGGCTGGCGGGGGGCTGCAGGTCGGCAGTGAGGGGCACCGGGAGGCGGGGGGGGCTGGGCTGGCAGGGGGCTGGGGTCGGGAGTGAGGGGCACCGGGAGAGCAGGGGGGCTGGGCTGGCAGGGGGCTGCGGGTCGGCAGTGAGGGGCACCGGGAGAGGGGGGGGTGGCAGGGGGATGGGCTGGGGGGGCTGCGGGTCGGGAGTGAGGGGCACCGGGAGAGCGGGGGGGCTGGGCTGGCGGGGGGCTGCGGGTCGGGAGTGAGGGGCACCGGGAGAGCGGGGGGGCTGGGCTGGCGGGGGCTGCGGGTCGGGAGTGAGGGGCACCGGGAGAGCAGGGGGGGGGCTGGGCTGGCAGGGGGCTGCGGGTCGGCAGTGAGGGGCACCGGGAGAGCGGGGGGCTGGCAGGGGGCTGCGGGTCGGCAGTGAGGGGCACCGGGAGAGCAGGGGGGCTGGCAGGGGGATGGGCTGGCGGGGGGCTGAGGTCGGCAGTGAGGGGCACCGGGAGAGGGGGGGGTGGCAGGGGGCTGGGGTCGAGAGTGAGGGGCACCGGGAGAGCAGGGGGGCTGGAGGGGGATGGGTGGGGGGGGCTGAGGTCGGAGTGAGGGGCACCGGGAGAGGGGGGGGTGGGTGGAGGGGGTGGGGTGGGGAGTGAGGGGCACCGGGAGAGCGGGGGGGGCTGGAGGGGGATGGGTGGAGGGGGGGGGTCGGGAGTGAGGGGACCGGGAGAGGGGGGGGTGGGGGGGGGGCGGGGTCGGGAGTGAGGGGCACCGGGAGAGGGGGGGGGGGCTGCGGGTGGGAGTGAGGGGCACCGGGAGAGAGGGGGGTGGAGGGGGATGGGGGAGGGGGAGGTCGGGGGAGGGGAGGGAGAGGGGGGGGGGAGGGGATGGGGGGGGGGCGGGTCGGCAGTGAGGGGCACCGGGAGAGCGGGGGGGGGCTGGGCTGGCAGGGGGCTGCGGGTCGGCAGTGAGGGGCACCGGGAGAGCGGGGGGGGCTGGGTGGCAGGGGGGGGGTCGGCAGTGAGGGGCACCGGGAGAGCGGGGGGGGGCTGGGCTGGCAGGGGGCTGCGGGTCGGGAGTGAGGGGCACCGGGAGAGCGGGTCGGGAGTGAGGGGCACCGGGGGCGGGGCAGGGGCTGGGCCGGCGACACTCTGCCTCCCGCTTCCCCTCTACTCCTCTGGAGGACTAGAAGACGCTCTATCCCCGGCCGGGCCGCAGTTGTCTGCTCCGAACGCTCGCACACGTGGGGCGCCGGGGTGGAGGGGAGCCGCGCAGCTGTGGGGTGAGGGGGGCACAAGGAGACTTGATTAAGGGCCAGGAACCAGCCCTTTTGAAGGAGGCACCGGGGGTGGGGGATGCTGGGCGGGGGTGGGGGATAATCGGGGGTGGAAGATTTATTGAGGAGTCCCCTGGAGGGCTGAGGGGGCACGGATGGGTGGGGGGGCAGGGTTGGGGTGAGGTGGGAGGGGGCTGGGTGGGAGGAGGGTTGCGGGTGTGGTTATGGGAGGCACCGGGGCACCGCGGGGGGGGTAGGAGTTATGGGTACTGGGGGCTGTAAATTGATGGAAGTAAACATGCCCCCCACCCGTCCCGGTGCCGGAGGGGCTCGGGGGCCTGGCTGAGGCCTGGGGTCGCTCAGGGCAGCGCTGGTCAGGGTGCCGCTGGCCACCCAGCTAGTCCGGTGGCTTTTCTCGCAGGCAGCCATGGAGCTGGGCACCTCCTGCTTCCAGTCGGACCTGGACTTCTGCCCGGAGTGTGGGACCGTCCTGCCCCTGCCAGGCTTCCAGGACAAGGTGACCTGCGTGCGCTGCTCCTTCTCCATTGACGTACGAGGTGAGGGCGGCAGCATCACACCCCACACACCTACTGGCATTTATCTAGGGGGGCTGGATTCCCCTCTGTCCACTAGTGAGATCCCTCGGGGAAAGGACGGGGGGGGGGGCAGTGGGTTAGAGCAGGGCAGGCTGGAAGTCAGGACTCCTGGGCTCTGTCCCCAGCTCTGGGAGAGGAGTGGGGTCCAGTGCTGGCCCTCTGAGAGACAAGTCTCTGAAGTGCATTAGTTCCTCTGTCTGACGCTCACATCCCTCGATAACGCTCTTCCTCTCCCTGCACAGATTTCGAAGGGAAGGTGGTCCAGTCGTGTGTCGAGTTCAACCGCCCGGGCTCTGTGGCTCTGATGATCATGGACGACGGGCAGGAGGTCAAGGGACCCATGGTGAGTGGGGATTTCTGTGGGTGGGCGGGAAGGAAAACACATGTCAAGAGTCTCCTAACATCCTGCAGCAGGAAGTCCCACTGGTACATTATCACCTGACCTTGACTTATTTCCCTTTTATCCCAGTGGAGGAGTTTTTTGTGGGAGTGGTAGGGAATCTTCATTCCATGGATTTGACTCTGCCTTGGCGATCCTTTCAGATCGATAGGAAGTGCCCCCAGTGTGGTCACGAGGGCATGGTCTATCACACCCGGCAGATGAGATCAGCGGACGAAGGACAGACCGTCTTCTACACCTGTGGCCAGTGCAAGTAAGGCGCCGTCCCTTCCCTACTGCCCACGTGAGAGGGGAAAGACGGGAAAGTTATTGCCCACAGGGTGACCTAGATCTCAGCTGTATTTCCTCATCAGCTAAACTGATCCAGGTTGTTCCCTTAAAATGAGACCTCACGGTTAGCCCAACCCCCCCAAAAAACCAAAGGGAACAGCCAGAAAAATAATAGTTAACGGTGGTTTCTTGTTGTACAAGGTGTACACAATGTGCTCCCAAGCATTTCAGCTAGTCATATTTATGGGATGATTTTATACGTTACAAAACTCTTCACTAAAATCCAACCCACCCGTTTGTCCCAGTTCCTTTTGTTCTGTACCTTTCCTTATCTTTGTTGTGGATACTGGCATTCCAGGTACCGGTCCGTGAAGGGGCCTCCCTGGCTTGCACACTAGGCGTGTATCTTGATTTTTCCTATCTGCTGATGCTAAACGCTAGGTGGTGTTACTGCAGGGTATTGTGGGATGTAGCTTAGATTTTTCCCAGAGTGCTGTTCACTCACGCTAAGCCAGGCCTTCGTATAATGTGGTGCACGCTTACCTAACATCTGTGCGTTGGCTGACGTCGGACTGGGTGCGTACGGGGCAACTGAGATTTACTGATTAAAAACCAAAGTGGCCTAAGAACTTGGATGGAGGCTTCTTGTGTGGTCAAGAAGTGCAGAGGGAAATGCAAGAACTCCCCCACACAGCCCTGCCTTGCTGAATCCCACCTCTGTGCAGGGTTCTTCTCCCTGTCCCGGCTAAGGCTTCCCTCTGGCAGACACGCCCTTCACGCTCCAGCCTTCCTAGCTGGCTGCTGCTCCCTGCAGCCTTTCCACCCCTGGGAGCTTGGGGGAGTCTTTGGACTTGTCTACACTTGAAACGCCTACGCTGCGGGAGGGGTTCTCCCATCGGCGCAGGGAATCCACCTCCCCGAGAGGCGGTAGCTAGTTGAAGTGAAGAATTCGTCCATCACTGAAGCGCTGTCTACGCTGGGACTTAGGTCGGCTTAACCATGCTGCTCGGGGGGATATTTTTCACATCTCTGGGCGATGTAGCTGAGTAGATCTAATTTTCCAGCGTGGAGCAGTTCGTGTATTCCTGCTGCCCACCTTTGAGTCTCTCCTGGCTTCCTTCCTGGAGTGGCCCTTCTTAGCCACATGCCCTGCCTTTCGTGTGACGTAACTCATCAACCAAAGTGGAGAAAAGGAATAAAGTGGGTCGGGATGGGGCTGGCATCCTCTATCTTCTCTTAAATGGAACCACCGGTCATGCCCAAAGAGCAGCTTATGGGGGATCTCCATCCCCAGAGGGATTAGGGATACTGGAGGGGAGGAAAGCTTTCCCACAGCAGGTGTGTGGTCTCCCTGTGACTTTAGCAGCATCCTGCAGCAGGCAGTTCCACAGATCAAAAAAGAAATAAAAAAGTAAAAGCTTCTGCAAAGGATTGATGCTTGGCTTTTGTTGTGCACAGGTTCCAGGAGAAGGAAGACTCATGAATGGAGCGGCAGGGGGACACGGACAAGAGAAGACTAGGTGTAACACCCACCCCTCCTTTACCCAGAACAACTTGCCTCACCTCCTAACAAGATCCTTTTCTTGGCTCAGGCCCGGGTCGACCTATGGGCTGACAGCCACCACCACTCAGCATTCACTGCACTGGTGTCTGCAGCACAATGAAGCAAAGGAGGTGCATGAACGCAACCCCGGCCCTGTGGAGGTGACTCCCAAGGGTGTAACCATTGGGGATACCCCATCTCCCTTCCACACCCCCTAGGGGAACCCCAAGTCATGAGCCCCAGGGGATGTAGATCCATTTGTGGAGAACTCAAGACTATTTAAGGCTGCTCTGGCAGTTCCGATGCCGGACCCCAGCTGCTGCGTTCTCCGGGGAGAGCCTGTTGGTGTATTGTGCTTTGGGGGGGGACGACAAGGGGGGGTTTCTCCCCTCTTTCAGGATCATGGGCTCTGGAGGACAGACCAGCTGGGGAGTCCTGGGTGCATATTTCCGGCCAAGGCAACAACCCCCTCCTCCTAGGAGAAGTAAATAAAACCCTATTTTGTACATGAACCCTGCGTGTGTCACTCTCCTCCTGGGTCTAGAATCACAGATATAGGGGCCCCGTTGGGCCGGGCGCTGCCCAGACACACAGGGAGAGACAGTCCCTGCCCCAGCTGAGATCAGGGCCCCATTGTGCCGGGCGCTGCCCAGACACACAGGGAGAGACAGTCCCTGCCCCAAATAGCAGCCAATTTGGGGGGGGGGGGCACAGAAAAGTAAAAGGACTTGCCTAAGGTCCCACATAGAGTCAGGGGCAGAGGCGTGAATTGAACCCAGGTGTCCTGAGTTCCCTGTTAAAACATTGACTGCACCTTCCTGCTTCCCCCAGTGCCGCCCCCTGTCCCTGCTACTGTCTCTGGTGCTGAGGCTGGCAGAGCCTGGCCCTTCAGGACTGGCCCCCCACTCAGTCCTTCCTCCCGCCACCCCCTCCATTCAGGACTGTCTAGAAAGGGCTGGAGACAGTGGTGGGCAACAGCTGCCTCTCCCGCCCATGTGCTGGCTGTGGGCACCCGTTCCCCCCACGCTGCTCCACATCAGAGATCCTCAGGGATTCCTCCCCAGCCCTGCCCCATTCACACTCCCTCACATGGCTCCCCGCTTTCCCCTCCATACCCCTTGCCCCCACTTTTCCCCTCAGCCCCCCATGGCCTTCCCCTCCCATATCCCCTCTTCACTTAACTCCCCCTCCCACAGCTCCCCATTTTCCATCTCCCTGTTCCCACTGAAACCCCCCATCCCCCCAAATATCCCCTTCTCCCTCCTCAGCCCCCCCTTTTGCCCCACACAGGCCTTGTTCCACCTCACAGCTGCCAAGTGCACCCCTCTCCTGAATCTCTCCTCCTTCTGCCCCCTCCCCAGCCTTTCCCCACATGATCGGGCCTCTCAGCCCATGGTCTTCCACTGCATCAGACCCCCCCCTTTTCCCTCCCCGTGACCGCCCCAGAGCCTCCCTTCCCCACATAGTCCTACTTAGCCCTGCCCCCTGTATCTCCCCCTCTGAGCCTGCCCACTTCCCCCTTTTGCTCCCGCAAGACCCCCAACTGTATGCCCCTCCCCTTATGCCCACCACTCAGTCCTCCCCTCACAGTCCCGCTCTCTCTATGATCCGTCTGTGTTCCCCCTACTGTATCTCCCATACTGCCCCCTCATGAATTCCTCCTTTCCCTATGGCTGCCCCACTGAGCCCCCCCATGGCCTCTCAAGCCCTGCCCCCAGCTGTATTTACACTTCCCCCATGCCCCTCAGTCTCTGTCCTCTCTCAACTCCTATAGAGCCCCATCCTTTTCACTCTCTCCACTGTCCCTCTTTCCCCCCTAGCTTCCCCCATGGCTGCCCCACTCGGTTCCTCCCCCCCAGCTGTATCCTCTTGCCCCCCCCTCAAGCTTGGTGCCCCCTCACTAAGCCCCCCTTTCCCCAAGAGCCCCCTCACAGAGGCCTGGCCCCATTGAGTCCCTCTTCCCTTTTTGATCCGCCATGGCCTCCCCAGTCAGTACTTGCCCCCCAACTGCATCCCCCTTCCTCCTGTGCCCATCTCAGTCTTTTCCCCCCCACTGAGCCCCCCCCTTTCCGCATATGTCCCCCCCACTCAGCCCTGGTCCCTCTATTGGGCCCACAGTCTCACTGACCCCCCCAGTATCCCTCTTCCCCCCCATGTGCTCCCAATGGTTCCACTGAGCCCCCCACTTCCCCTATGCCACCCACATGTGCCCCTATAGTGCCACTGACCCCCGCAGGGTGTTTCCCTTCCCCTATACCGCACAGACCCACTGAGCCCCCCACTGCATTCCCCTGTGCCCCCACGTGTCCCCCATAATCCCACTGAGCCCCCCACTGCATCCTCTTTCCCCATCCCCCGCGCATGTCCCCCCCCACTGACCCATCACGTGACAGCTCAGGCTGCCGCCCCAGGGGACCTCACACCAGCCCCTCCCTGCCTTGGACATGACTCAGGCTAGAATTCTCTCCCGCCCCCTTTTTCTGGCCGCGCATGCGCGCCGCGCCCCCGTACGGCGGAAGCGCGGCGCGGAGAATTCCCTTCCAGAGCCAGAGGAGCGGGGGCGGGGGACAGTGTTCCGGGAACTCGCACCCGGAAGCGGGAAGTAGCGGGCCGCCGGCCGGAAGTGGCGCGCGGCTGGGGGTGGGAGCCCGGCGGTCGCTCGCCGCGGGCTGCTGGGAGAGCCGGGGGCAGCCGCAGCAGCAGCAGCAGCAGCAGCCGGCGGGAGCGAGGCAGGGGCGGTGCGCGGCGCAGACTCTTCCCCCCGGCAACCGGGGCCGCGGCGGGCGGGGGCCGGGCAGCGCCATGGCGGAGGCGACGGCGACAGCGGCGGCCGGTGGGGGGGCCGCCAGCACCACCGTCACCGAGACCGTGACCGTCGAGCCGGTGAGCGGGGCCGGGATCGGGGCCCGGGGGGCGGGGGTCAATATAAAATCCCCGGATGGGGGGGCCTACAATGATTGGGGGCGGGGGGTCAATATAAAATCCCCGGATTTGGGGGGGCTACAATAATTGGGGGGCGGGCAGTTAATGAAAGATCCCAGGATTTTGGGAGGGGGGGGGGGGGGCTGGTTAATGAAAGATCCCAGGATTTGGGGAGGGGGGCGTGAAAGATAGGATTTGGGGGAGGGGGGTGGTATGAAAGATAGGATTTGGGGAGGGGGGTGGTTAATGAAAGATAGGATTTTGGGAGGGGGGTGGTAAGAAAGATCAGGATTTTGGGGGGGGGGTGGTTAATGAAAGATCAGGATTTGGGGAGGGGGGGTGGTTAATGAAAGATCCAGGATTTTGGGAGGGGGGCTGGTAAGAAAGATCCAGGATGGGAGGGGGCTGGTTAATGAAAGATCCCAGGATTTGGGGAGGGGGGGCTGGTTAATGAAAGATCCCAGGATTTGGGGTTGCAAATTTTGCAGAAGTTAATATAAAATCCCAGGGGTTTGGGGCAGGTTTATAAAAAAAAAAATTGGGGCGGGGGATGTAAAATCCCAGGGATTGGGGTGTTTGTATATATTTGGGGGCAGGTTAATATAAAACCCCAGAGATTTGATGGGGGGCAATATAAAATACTGGAGTTTGGAAGGGTTTATAACATGGGGGAAGGGTAAATATAAAATCTCAGGGATTTGAGGCTTTTGTAAATTTGTGTTTTTAAAAAATGTAAAATCCCCGGATTTGGGGTTTGTTTGGGGTTTTTTTTTTTTTTTTTTTTTGGTAATTTTAGGGTTATGAAATCTCAGGGATTTGGGGGGTTGTAAATTTTGGGGAGGATTTAATAAATAATCCCAAGTATTTGGGGGTTTTATAAATATTTTTGGAAAGCTTAACATAAAAAACTGAAGGTTTTGTAAAGGGGGGGAATAACACAAAAACCACAGGAATTTTTTTTTTTTAATAATAATAAAGTAAAATCCTGAAGGCTTGAAAAGTGGGGGTTGCCTGTCCATTTGTTTTAATTTTGGGGAGTGGGGTGATTGTAAAATCACAGCAATTTGAGAGATTAAACATTTGTGGGGCTAATAGAAAATCATGGGGATTTAGAGGTTCTATAAATTTGGGGGGGTTAACACACAATCACCGGGCTGTGTGCGTTTTATTTACATTTGGGGGTGCTTAGTATAAAATCATGGGGATGAGTGGCTTTTTTTTTTTTTTTTTTTTTTTTTTAGTTTTGGGGATTTCATATAAAATCACACGGATATGGGGGTTTATTTTGGAGGTTAAAATCATGGGAAATTGGGTGTTTTAATTTGACAGTTTTTTAAAAGATCGAATCAGAGGGATGTGGGGTTTTTTATATTTTATTTTGGGGGGTTAAATATTAAATCACAAGAACGTGGGGAGACTTAATATAAAATCATGGGCATTTGGGCTTGGAGACTTTGCAAGTCTGTGGGATCACAGGGTGGGGGGACCATGGAGGGAAAATGAGGATTTGAGGGGAAACGACGCATTTTCGTGTGGCTTGGATTTTCACCATTAAAATCAAATCCGGTTTTGATTAAGCAGCCCCCTGGTTCTCTCTTTTAGATGCCAGGTGTTAACTAGCAGTGGGGAGCATTAGTTAAAAAATTCATTCAGAGGCCCCCAAACTGGCCCCCTGTCCCCACCCACCTGTGCCCCTGCTGGGCCCTTCTGTGAGCTCTGTACCCATCGTGGGCGCCACGGTATTGGTTGTCACAGCGACCATGATGCCAGGGAAGCCACGGTAACTGCAGGGTGTGGGAGTCACAGCAACGGTTGCTGTGAAAGGGGGGTTGGCGGTTGCCACGGCAACCATCCCAGCGACAAGAGGGCGTGGTACCCAGGGTGACACGGCCATCGTTATGGCGACTGCAGGAAGTGGGAGTGGGGCAACCATCCTAGTAGGAATGGGGCGTGGTACCCATGGTGACGCTCGTGGTGGCCGTCACAGCGATGACTGTCTGTTGTAGCTATGGCAGCAGCAGCGGGGTGTGGCACTTGTGGTGCCCATCGGACAGCACAGGGCGAGGGACACAGGGAACATGTCTGTCCTGGCAGCCACGGAACATGGTAACCCTGGTGACCGCCACAGCTGGAACAGGGCACGGTAGCCATGGAAACAGCAGGGCATGGGAGCCACGGTGCCCCCAAGGCGGTGGTGGAAGGGACACGCTGTGGAGCCGGGCAGCAGCCGGAGGCATTGTGAGAGGGTTTGCCTGAGTGTCATAGAAGAGCGCCCCCTACTGTGCCCCTGTCCCGCTCCCTGCAGCACAGCGCCCCCTAGTGCCGCACTGGGGCCAGCTCCGCCTGCCAGGGGAGAGCGCCCCCTTACTGAGCTCCCCACCCCGTTCCCTGAAGCATAGCGCCCCCGGCTGTCCCAGGTCTCGCCGTACTAATCCAGCCAAGCCATCCGAGGTCTTTCTCCATGGGTCATCTGTGACCGGCCGTGGTCTGATCCCCCACTCTCGCTCCACCCCCCCACCCCACGGCCCGCAGGAGAACCGCAGCCTGACCATCAAGCTGAGGAAGCGAAAGCCAGATAAGAAGGTGGAATGGTCGAGCGACACTGTGGACAACGAGCACTTGGGCCGTAGGTCGTCCAAATGTGAGTAGTCGGCTCTCCCCTTCCGAGACTCCTTCCCCCCCCCCCCCACCCCCATCCAGGTACAGAGCCGTTCGCCACATCATTCAGAATGGAGCGTAGTGGGGGCTAGTGGTTAGAGCGGGGGAGGCTGGGAGTCGGGACTCCTGGGTTCTCCATCCCTCCGCTTCCTGCTTCCACATGCTCAACGCCAAACTCTTCGCCTCAGCATTGCTGATGGATCCCACTCTCTGAGCCAGCCAGTCCCCAGCCCTGGGGCTGGATCGGAGCCCGCGCCCCCCAGAGGGGAAAGTGCCCCGTGCCCTCTCCTCACCCCCCTCCTGAGCCAGCCAGTCCCCACCCTGGGGCCCGATGGGAAGAGAAAGGCCCCATTCCGACTGATCCTCTCGAATCCCCCAAAAGCCAGAATTACACCATCAGCGGCTCCTGCTAACGGGGTGACAACGTCCCCTCCCCGCGGAATGGAGCCCGTGACTTGCTGGGCTCAGCTGTTTTGCAGAGGGACATGGCCCCCTGGGACTTAACGGCAGGGGGGGATGGCACGGCTCAGGCGCGGGAGAGGTCAGTAAAGGACCCCCAGGTCTCTCGGCCTCCGCTCTGAGAGCCCCAGGCAAATGGTGGAGACACTGACAGCCTGGGCTGGCCCCCACCCCGCCCCCCAGGCTGGGCCACGGGGCTGGGTGCAGGCTGACAGCTGGGGGGCTTCTGACTCCCTCTGTCTCTCTCCACCTCTCCCCCCCCCGCCCCGGCATCATGCCCCTTGCTGTCCCCTCCCCCCACCCCCTTGTTCCTCCCCTGTGTCCCCCCCACATCCCCCTCTAACCTCCCCCCTCTCCCCATGGCCCTCCCCCTTCTAATCCCCATGCCCTCTCACATCCCCTTCTAACCTCCCCTTCCCCCATGGTCCCCCCCACATCCCCTTCTAACCCCCCCCATGGCCCTCCCCACATCCCCTTCTAACCTCCCCTCCCCCCCATCGCACCCACCCCCCCATGTAACCTCCCTGCCCCGCCCAGGCTGCTGCATCTACGAGAAGCCGCGGGCCTTCGGCGAGAGCTCCACAGAGAGCGAGGACGAGGAGGACGAGGGCTGCGGCAACGCCCACTGCATCCGGGGCCACAGGAAGGGGGAGCATGGGGGCCGGGGGGGCGGCGGCTCTGGGGGGGGCAAGGGCAGCCCCCGCAAGGCCGAGGCGCCGGGCCAGGACCACGCTGCAGCCATGCAGCACTGAGCCCCTCCACCCCGCCGGACTGACCGGGGGACGCGGGCCTGTCCGTCTGTCCGTGAGCCTGCTGGCCTGCGAGCTGCTGTCGTCGGCCGTCCCGCCCAGTGCCCCGGCGTGGAATGTACCGAGCCACGGGCCGGCTGCGTCTCTGTGCTTCTCCATTAAACGTCTGTGTCGGTGACCACGAGCGGCCACGGCCTGCTGCTTTCTGCTGGGGGGGGCGGGCGCAGCTCTGCCGGTGCCCCCTGCTCCTGACGCGCTGCCCCCGGCCAGCCCAGCCCTGGGCTCCCCCCCCCCCCCAGCTCTGCCGGTGCCCATCGCTCCTGACCCACAGCCCCCTGTCAGCCCTGTCCTTCCCTCCTCCAGCCCTGCTGGTGCCCCTCACTCCTGACCCACAGCCTCGCCCTTCCTTCCCCCAACCCTGCTGGTGCCCCTCACTCCTGACCCGCAGCCCCGCCCCTCCCTCCCCCAGCCTGGCTGGTGCCCCTCACTCCTGACCTGCAGCCCCCTGTCAGCCCCGCCCCTCCCTCCCCCAGCCCTACCGGAGCCCCTCCCTCCCGACCCACAGCCCCCTGCTAGCCCAGCCCTCGGTTTCTCTTCCCTCCCCACAGCTCTGCCAGTGCCCCTCAATCCTCACCTACTGGTATTCTCCCCCCATCACAGACACAGCTCTGCCAAGGCCCTGAAATAGAAGCTTTAATCACCCTTATTTTCCCTTTCATAGCTGCAAATGGTGTTGATCATAAAACGTTTACAGTGTCCTGGTAAGAGGACAAACAATCTTTGGCTGTGGCCTTGTTTCCTTCCATGCTTCTTCCTGATGTATAAAGGAGGCTTGTCGGATTTTACCTGGAAAAGGTGTTTTTTTTTCCTGCTTGATTTTTTTAACACTAGAAATCTAGGTGTCGTCTGTCCTGGAAGTCTCTCTAGGTGACTAAAGAACTGGGGTGTTTACAGCAATGCAGATTCCCCGGAAGACAAACGCGCTACATTGATTTGTGTTCAAGTGAACACTGTTTCTTCGCATTTATCTCAAACACCCCCTAAACAGCTGAGAGAAAAACGGTCATCGTGAAAGAATCCCTGTTTCTGAATCCCTTTCCCTTATGACCTCTCCTGAGCTGCCTCCTGGTTCCTTCGAGGTAACCTCCAGCAAAACCGGGAAGACAAGATGTGGACATCCTGTTATTTTCTAAATTAATAAGAAAAATTATCACCTGTCCCCCGCCAAATAAACCCCTCACCTCGAAAGCTTTCTGTGTACCTCATAATGGGCATGAACTTGACGCTTGATTTCCACATACCCACGCTCTGTGGTTTACCTTCAATAAATATCCGTCCCAGTGAAACAGTCCTGCAGCAATGAGTTACGCAGTTCCACTGTGTGTCATATGTGGTGGTATTTCCTTTCCTTAGATGCTGCTGTCATGTGTGCAGTGACTCTGGGTGTAATCTCCCAGAGCCGGGAGTGAGGTCTTGTGGTTAGAGCATAGAGGTTGGGATTTAGCACTCCTGGGTTCTTTACTCAGTTCTGGGAGGGGAGTGGGTCTCGGAGTAAGAGCAGCATGTTTTCATTTAGCCCTTTTTGTGCTTGTAAATGCCTCACTTAACCCTCCCATCTCTGCATCTCGTCTTTCCCTGATCAGCTGGTGTTGGGGCTGCCTCTACCTGAACTTTCTGCTAGCTCTGACAGTTAGACACTGTGTCCCCCAAAGGTGGAATGTCACTGCTAATATGCCTCTGTTCTCAATCCAAAGGCCTCCAGCAGATCATACATCTGCAGTGGAAATGCAGCCACCTCTGGAGTGGAGCACAGCCGCGCTGTAGCAGCAACACTGTGCAGGGGTCGCTGGCCAGTGTGGAAATGCAGCCCACGCTGGGGTAGGAGATGGCAGCTGGGTGACAGCCAGGCAGCAGTACACAAGAGGAATTGACACCCTGCCCTCAAAGGCAACTGGCTCACGCTGCCTCTCTGCAACAGCGAGGAGAGACAGATGCCATGGCCCAAGCTGATAGTGGGCCGAGGCCCTGATGTGGGACTTTTGTCACAGGCGCTAAGGGCCGTGGTTTTGCTTCATTAAATAACTACAGCCTGAAGCAGAACAGCGCCCCCTCCAGGCAGAGTGGGGGGTTTTGGGCAGCGTTGAACAGGAGTGTTTGGTCAGCTTTCTTCAGTGGCTGGGTGGGGGGGCTGGGAGGCAGGACTCCTGGGTTCTATCCTCAGCTCCAGGAAGGGAATGTGGTCTAGTAGATTAGAGCAGAGCGGGCTGGGTGTCAGGACTCCTGGGTTCTCTTTCATACCAGAGTCTGCTGCTGAAATCTCAGCCAGCACACAGGGATGGCCGCACCCAACCCACTGGCGATCCCAGAAAGACCAGGGCAGCGCGGGCCTGGGTGCCCCCACTCCGTCCCCTTGGCAGTCGCCTCTGTGTGGCTGGTGGGCAGCTGAATGAGGGCTGGCGGGCCCCACCTGGGGACGCCGTGCTCCCAGGATCTGACTCCTTGCTTAGGAAGTGGAAAGGCGCAAAGAGGAAGACACTGGTACGCAGTGTCTGGGCCAGGGCTGGAGCCGTCGGGCGCTCCCAGGTGCCCACCGACCCGGAGAGCCGTTGTGTCCAGCCTTGGGGCAGAAGGGGATAACAGAGGCAGGATCGCACAATGCACTGGGGCAGGGGTAGCTCTCCTCCACGTCAGCTTTGTCGCCCTCTAGTGCCTGCCCCGTATACCAGCTTCTTGGAGCTGGGTCAGCGGCTTGGGCGTTGGGGGGAGCGCGAATGAGCGGCCGCTTTCCTCCCGGAGCAGCAGAGGCTCCCGGATCGTTGTTCCGCACCCGGGATGCGGAGGGGAATCCCAACACTAGCTGGAAGGAGCTGGAGCCCTGCCCCAGACCTGGCTTCGTCCCAGCCCCTCTCACCTCAGCTCCTGCTGATACAGGCCCAAGCCTGGGGTAACAGGATCAAGCCAGGTGGGGCTGCCCATCTGCCCGCTGCCAGGCTGATGGGAACTCCCAGGAAAAACAGCCTGGAAGAGGGAAGCTGTCATCATCCTGGCATGAGCCGGCCCCCAGGGACGGGATTCTGTGCATGCAGCAAAGAGTTGCCTTTTATGGAGGAATTCCCCGAGAGTTTGATTTGCCAAGCGGTTGGGGAGGTCCGAGAGACTCAGGACTCCTGGGTTCTCTCCCCGGCTCGGGAAAGGGAATGGGGTCTAGTACGTGAGAGCGGGCGGAGCTGGGAGCCAGGATGCCTGGGTTCTATTCCTGGCTCTGGGAGGGGAGTGGGGTCTAGTGGGTTAGAGCAGGGGGGCTGGGAGCCAGGATGCCTGGGTTCCATTTACTGTTAGTCATTTCCTCTCTCTCAGCCTCCGTTGGCTCTCTTGTTAGTGACTCACCCCTAGCTGTAAATACTTAGGCCCAGAGCTTCAGGGGTTTGGGGCCCCTCTCTCCCACTGAAACCAATGAGAGTTAGGGGCCATGCTCGTTGCCATGTTCCCGTGCAGCTGCTGACCGCTTGCAGCAATCCCAGCCCCGCTGTCTCCGTCTGGGGACAGCGGAGGCACCAGCTTGTCTGATTGGACTCCAGCACGCAACTCCGTACCGCGGCACCGAGGGGTGTTGATAGTGAAAACAGCCGGTTTAGCGAGATCCAAGAGCCAGCGAGTACAGCGAATGGATCTGCCCGGCTACATATTCAACAAAATCATAACCATGCTGTCTAGCGACCAGACTTAACCAACCAACCGCGTTTCCCTTGCCCCGAAGGGCTTTTGCCCAAGTTTCAGGATGATTCTGTTTTTTCATGACGAATCACACTGCTCCGTTATTTCCTAGGTGCATGGTAAAGAGGTGGCATCCCCTAATATCCCCCAAAGTTCAATGTCGGCCCCTAGTCAGAATCCCCCCTTCCCCGTCCATTCTCCAGTGCCACCTCTCCCTGTGGCCTTTGTATGTAAGGGGAGCGCTCGTTGTGTGGGCTGACCGCAGAGAGGTGATTTTGCCGGCATTGAGCTTGTGAGCTCTGCTTTGCCACCGACGGTCAGGACAGATTGTCGGCAGCCATCCGAAACGCCTCGGCGAGTGTCTGTGCCAATACGTCACGCCGCTATTCATGACCAGCGTGGCTCGCGTTTTCATTTAACACCTCCCATGACAGCCTTGGGTGAGCCAGGTGGCACATGCCAGGCGTGGGAAATTCTCTTGCCCGCTGGCATAGAGGGGTTTCGGGGGCACACCACGGTCTTCAAAAGAAAACCTAAGAGCAAAGGACTGGCTGGCTCATGTTTCCCGGAAGACTTTATTTTTTCCCCTTGTGCTCAATAATAATAATAATAATAATAATTAATAATAATTCATCACAATAGAGGCCTCCACTGGACTAAATACAAAGTTAGCAAAACAAACTCCAGGGGCAGCCACACAAGAATACAACACAGCTGTGGCAGAGAGCAGCAGGGAAAACTCTGGCGAGACGAGAGAGCAGACGGCATGAAAATACTCAGTAGGGGACGGGGATACGGGCCGACCTCATCTAGCCCCAAGCTGCGGCAGTGGGGACTGGCTGGTTTGGGGACTAGGATACAGGGCCTTTCCCCGATATGGGACACTGGCTCAGATCTGGACCGGGGCTGGCTGGCTCAGGGGGGCAGGGAGTGGGACATGGAACCTTTCCCCTCTAATCCTGTCCCAGGATCTGATCTGGCCCAGGACAGGGAGACCAGCTGGCTCGGGGGGTTGGTGGGGAATGGGACATGGGGCCTTTCCCCTGTATGGGGCGCCGGCTCCGATCGTTACCCCAGACTGTTCCTCCCAGCTGTGCTCCGTAAGATGGGCCAGTGGGTCCCATTTCTTCTGCATCTGTCCCCAGGGCTGATCCACCAACATTCAGCTTGTCCCAGTCCCCCAGAGGGGGGACCCCTGCAGGCGCGGGACTGAGGCCTATCCGCAGGGAGCCACTGTATGGGCCTAGCTCTGCTACATGTGGCTGGAGGAGACACCCTAGCTGCCTGGCATGGCCCAGGAGCAAGTTGAATCTCTCAGGGGTGGTCCGGGAGCCAGGGCTGCTCTCCAAGGCCCAGGTGGACGGTCCTGATATTGTCCGAGAGGCTCAGGTCAGAGTGGACGGTTTGGGGAGGGTCCGGCGTCACGTTAGCTGCAGAGAGAGAGGGAGGGTATGGACGATAATCACCCCAAAGGGACCTATAGGCTTGTTATGCTAGGGACGCTTGCCCAGTGCTGAGATGCAGCCACCTCTGGGGTGGGGCAGCTGGGGAACAGCCCCACAGCAATGCTGCACAGGGATTGTGCCCCCAGCGCTGAGCTGCAGCCACCCCTGGGTGGATGGGTGGGAACAGCCGCACAGAAATGCTTCCTTGGGGTCACTCACCAGCACGGAGATGCAGCCATCTCTGGGGTGGGAGGTAGCTGCCCCGTGACAATCCACAGCGGGATCGCTTCCTTACAGTTGAGATGCAGCTACTTCTGGGGCGGGGGGCTGCCGCTGGTTAAGCGCGGCGCGGCCATTGAGGCCAGGGAGCGCAGAAGGATCTTTATGTCACGGCAACAGCTGGGAGAATTCCTGGCGGTGGAATTAAATCGGCTGGAATCCAGTATCAGTGGCCCAGCTTTGAGGGGAAAGCAGCTTTAATAACCCCGAGCGGCTTTCTGGCCGAACGGCGTCAGGGCGCCCCCTAGCGTCGCACTGCGGAATTGGGGTCTGCGCTGAGTGGGAGAGGAAAGCGCCCCCTACTGGGCTTCTGTCCACTCCCCGCGGCACAGACATTGCTTGTGCCACTCTCACCACACTCCATCACTGGCCCTGGGACCATCAGCTGTTGGCACCTCCCCTATTAAGCTCCCTGCCCTATTCTCTAGGGCCGGAGGTCCCCCCATGGAGGGTGTGCTTGGATTGTGGCCATTCCTCCCTGTCACGCTCACACCTGGGGGGAAATCATAGATCGGGGCCTTGGGGGCAGGTGAATGGTGGCCGGTGAAAGTGCCATCCGTGCCAGGCCCTGTGCCCGCCAACTTACACCATGCAGGAGAAGAAAGGGGCACTCACTATCTGCAGATTTTCCCGACACCCTGGTGGAGAGAAGACAGAGAGAGACGTCATTAGACTCAGGGTAGAGTGGGCCATCGGCCATGGGACAGGAGCTGTTGGACAGAGCTGGGGGATATTTTTCGGTAGAAACTTTTTGGGGGGAAAAATGCAGATTTGGCAAAACTAACGCGTGGTGGATTTGCAAGTGTTTCGCCAAATTCTTCATTTTGGAAACTAAAGTCAAAATTCACGTCAATTTCGCTGAATTGTTTGTGTCCAAAGAAAAACAAGCAATCCCCCCCCCCCCTCAATTGTGTCAGTTTAGCTGGACTGTTTATTTTGGGGGGAGAGGGGGAGAAACAAATTTCAAAAAAAAGTGTCAATTTTTTGGTAGGAAATAACTTTTCACTTCTTACGTTTCTTTCCTTTTATTTTTAATAAAATTCAAGAATAGTTTTAAAAGGGTCATAATTGAAACATAATGTTTTGCTTTCCTCAGAATGATCCCCCCCACTACTTTTCGCTTCACCGAACATTTCAAAAACTTTTGGTTTCCACACCACCCGAAACAAATGATTTTTAACTTTTCAAAAGGGCTAAAAGGGGTGCCAATTTAGCTGAATTGTTCACTTCAGAATTTCAAAAACCAAATTCAAAAAAAGAAACAAATCCACAACAAAAAGCCATAAACTCCACGTTTCAGCGTTTGGGTTGGAAACGACGTTTCATTTAATCCGTTCCTTTCTTTTTTCTTTTTTTAAAAAAAATTCCAAACCAAGGTTTAAAAAGGTCAAGATGAAAACAAAATGGTTTGCTCAAAATGAATTTCCGTCCCCTCCCCTCAGACACACTTTTTGCTTCACCGAACATTTAAAAAACTTTCGGTTTCCACTTGCCCTGAAACCATTTTTTGGTGGACTGTTTGAATTTGCTCATGAATTGCAAACTCCATTATTCGCCCACCTCTGCCATTGGATCTCGGCCTGTTAGCCAAGAATGTTTCCTACGGTTTATTCTCCAGGACCTCATCCACTCGGGGGACGAACCTGAGGCAGGACAACTCCACCAGGGCTAGGGCTGGCTTGTCCCCTCCTGTCTATTCTCCATTTCTGCTGCTGGGACGCCACGTCCCCCAGGGATGCTGCACACGCACACACCCCGTGAATCCGCAGGAGCTCAGAGCCCCAGACCAGCAGCCCCTGGAGACCAGAGGTCTCTGTATTGACCCAGAGGGGGCACCGCCTGGGAGCCCACAGAGAAAGCACCTAGCACAACCCCCAGATGGGTCTCGACTCTGAACCAGCTCAGTGATGAAGTCTCATAACCGCTCTGGAGAAACTGAGGCACAGAAAAGGGAAGTGAAGGAAGAGAATCCCCCCTCCCCCCCACACACACTCTAACCACTAGACCCCACTCCCCTCCCACAGCTGGGAATAGACCCCAAGACTCCTGACTCGCAGCTCCTCTGCTATAACCTACTAGACCGCAGTCCCCTCCCACAGCTGAGGATAGAACCCAGGAATTCTGGCTCCCCAACCAAAGGCTAGAGCCAAGCAAGGGCCATGCCCCATTAATTCCTCTTTCTGGGGCTGCCAGTTGGGGCATATTGGTGGATCCTAGGATACCAGCTCTAGTCCCCCTAGGAAAGGCACCCAGGGGAAAAGCCAATGGGACAGGGCTGAAGGCTGAGGAAGAGCTGAGCCCAAAGGAGGCTGCCTAGATATTTTACAGCTCAGATCCTCAGCTGCAGAAGAATCCCCTCTTCACTCCCAGCTGTACGGGGAGTATGCAACACAGCTCCAGTTCCACCCACCTGGAGGCAGTGTTCAGGCATATAAGCAACACCCAGGCTAAGGGAGGTTGTGTGGTAGCCCAGGGCCTACCCAGAGCCCCCCTTTTTGCCCATAGAGCAAGTGGAGGGGTGGAGAGACCATAGCTTCCCTCCTCCACCCAGGGCCTTATACACAAAAACCAAATCCACCCATGGGACTCAGCCCCTGAGACCTGCAGATGAAGCCAAGCAGCGAGCCGGCCACCCTCAAAGATGCCAGGAGGGCTTGGAGGCCAGCTTCAAGCTATGCAGGTCGCAGTGGTGTCTGCCCAGGAGGCCATCAAGAACAAGCCATGGTGTCATCCCACCTCCATGCTAGGGACTGGGGTTTCATGGACGGCAGGTATAATAGGCCAGGGGGCCAGAAGCGGCGGGGTAGGGGTGGGGCCTTGGGTGGAAGAGGAGGGGCTGGGGGGCTAGCCTCCCCAAAGGGGCGGTTCACGTGTGGCCCATGGGGGCTTTATCTTCTACAGGCGCCCATTACCCCCTACCCCCGTCCTTATTTTTCACACTTGCTATCTGGATGCCATAGACCCAGGCGGTAACAGTGTGTGGGGCTGGGTCCAATCAGGCTCCATGCCCTGGAACAGGGTCAGGAAGACGGCAGAGGGGAAATGAGCCCGCAGGGGAAGGGAGCGAGGGGAAAGCTTGGCCGGGGAAGAAGGGCTGGGCTTGCTGGGCCCGGCCCAAGCCGCCCACGGCACGTGGTTGAGGCTGGTGTGCCCAGGTTGGCTGGTGCCAGGAGGAGATATTGACGTGGCCGGCTCGTAAATTCCAGGAGGCTGAGTGGGGCTGGAATGGCTCGTGCATGAGGTCTGTGATGAGCCGGGGAAGGATGCGGTGGAACTAGCCGGGACAGTTGCGCAGGCGGGTCGCGGTGGCTGAGGACAGGATTCCCACATGCCCCGGGGGCTGCTGATTAATTCACGAGGACAGGGCCCCACGGCGTGGCGTGTGTTTACAGTCAGCGCCTTGGCCTGGCCCGCTGCCACTGCCAGGTGAACAGCACGTGGGCACCGAGCCCAGCTGCATGTGCAATCACGTGCTTACAGCAGGGGAGGGCTGGGAGCCAGGACTCCTGGGTTCTATCCCCAGCTCTGGGAGAGGAGCAGGGGTGAGCGGGTTGGCATGAGTGGGGCCGGGAGCCAGGACTCCTGGGTTCTAGCCTCAGCCCTGGGTGGGCAGTGAGGTCTAGTGGTGTGGCGCTGTCCCATCACCTCTAAGGCTGGATGGCCGGGGGGGGGGGGAGCCCCAGTACCCAAATGGAAACCACAGCTAGAGACTTGTTGACTGGCCCAGTGGCTCTCAACCTTTCCAGGCGACTGTCCCCCTTTCAGGAGGCTGATTTGTCTGGCGTACCCCCAAGTCTCCCCTCACTTCAAAACGACGTGGTCACAAAATCAGACGTAAAAATGTGAGTGTTGACGCTCTCATTTTTACCGTAAGAAATCAATGGGAATAGAAACGTTTCAGTGTATCGTCTATAGAGCAGGATAAACCAGTCACTGTCTGTATGACACTTCCGTTTGTCCTGACTTCGCTAGTGTTTTTTATGCAGCCTGTTGTCAAACTAGGTTTATATCTAGAGGAGCTGATGTACCCCCTGGAAGACCTCGGCGTACCCCGAGGGGTACGCATACCCCTGGTTGAGAGCCACTGGGTGAGTGGGTTAGAAATGAAGGGGGTCGGGCTGGGCAGTTAGGATCTTGGATGGGTCAGGCCCCCCTGACTATATTTCCATTTCCCCAGGGACCGGGGTGGCTGCTGGGCTACTCTGGGAGGCAGTGAAAGGGGTCCTGTGTGTAGGGAGCACTGAAATAACAGACCCGTAACCTTCCCAGCCTGCCCGCCACATAATGGACACCCTGCATGGGAATCGGCCTATCATATGGGGCCCATCTAGCCCGGTATCCCTCCTCCCTGCCATCCACATCAGATCAACAGGGCCCATTCAGCATCCGTTAGCGGCCCTGCAGTGGGTGCCTCCGAGGGAGCTGTCGAAACCTCCCCCAACCCCCCAGTGCACCTCACAGCGCAAGACCAGCCCCTGGGGAAACTGGGAGCCTCTATTTGCTTTGTGCAGCGCCTGGCGCAATGCGGGGGGATGGGTGAGACCTCCAGGCAGAACCACAGCACAGGGGCGGGGACGGGTGGAACTGGAGGACAGACACGAGCTGGAGCCAAGCCAGCCCCACTGCTCAGAGTGGGACGGAGCCCCCTTGCTTCCCGAGCCAGGGGGGTGGGGCGGGGCGGGGCGGTAACTGTTACAGCCCTCACAGGGGACCCAGCTGTAACAGCTCCTACCTTTAGCCCTGAAGGTTCTTGGTTCAATCCCCAGCATTGGCCCGTTGCACGCGGATCAGCCCCCGGGCAGGGGCTCCTAGCTTTCCCCCCACCCGCCCCCAAAACCTCTGTCTTCCCCCTCTCAGGGTCTCTGGGTGCCTCCTCTTCTTCCATATCAGCAACCACCATGGAGGGGAGCTCTACGCTCCCTCTCCCCACAGCAAGGTTCCCAGTTGCCCACCCCCCTTCCCCCCGCGTACTGGTGGCTCTGGGGGCACCTGTTCCCTCATTTCCCACCCCCATGGCAAGGGCTTTTATGCCCCCAATTCTCCCCTACATGGTTGGAGCTCTGTGTGTCCCCATACCAGATGCTTCCAATCCTCCCCCCCCCCCCCCGAAAACAGGAGTTCTTGGCACCCTCTTCTCCCCCACCCCATGGCAAGGATGTTGTGTGCCCTCCATTCTCCTCTCCCTGCCCCTCAGACCAGGAGCCGCTCTAGGAATTATTGGGGGGCAGTTCTCCGGCCTGTGCTCTACAGAAGCTCAAACCAGCTGATCACAATGACCCCTTCTGACCTTGGAATCAAAGAGTCACGTCTCCCCCCAGCCTCCCCCCGCCCACACCAGGAGTTCTGCGTGCCCCCCCTTCCCCCTTGCCAGAGTCTCCCATTCTCCCCGCACCCTCCATAGCAGTCTCTGTGGACCCCCCTTACCCACCATCCCAGGGTCCCCCAGTCTTTCCATGCCTGTATTATTAAAGAAAACAACACAGCAGCCCTACCAAAACAAGACACTCCCCTGCACAAACGTCTCCCCTGTTGGGGGGCGGGGCGGTGGCTGGGAGAATGAACAGCCGGTGACAGATGTGTCGGTGCGTTGAGTCTTGCACGACGGTTAGGTGCTCTGCTCCCCAGCAATGAGAGCTGTACTGGACCCTATATTATAATCCTAATAACCCCTTGCACGTGTGCTTTTCAGCTTCAGAGCTCAAAGCGCTTCGCAAAGGAGGTCAGGATCATTACCTCCATTTTAGAGCTGGGGAAACTGAGGCTCGGGAGAGGGGCATGCCCAAGGCCACTGGCAGAGCCAGAAAAAAAGCCCAGGGGTCCTGCGGCCCAGCCCAGTGCTTTGTCTCCCAGGCCATCCTCCCGTGCACAGATTAGAATCCTGCAGCAGGGCGTCCCGCGGGTTAACCAGCCACCTACCTGCCCCTCTGGCATGACCGACACCGGGATCCAGCCACCGCGCTGCCGGCGGCGCTTGGGCGCCAGGGCCTCCTGGGCCATCTTGGCTTTGAGGTTCTGGGCGATCTTGACCTCCACGGCCAGTTTGACGTGGGTGCGCAGGCTGCGCCGCTCGAAGACCTGCTGGCACTGGGGGCAGGACAGCACCCCCGCCCTCTCCCGTTCCCACTGGCCCGTGATGCAGGCTCGGCAGTAGCTGTGGTCACAGTCCAGCAGCACCGGGTCCTTGAAGGGACCCCTGCAGATAGGGCAGATGGTGGAGCGCTGCAGCTCTGCCACCGGTCCCCGGCCTTCCATGGCTCCTTTCCCTTCGCTCGGGCGAATCCTTCCCCTTTATGCGGGGTGCGGGCGGAGAGGGAGGAGCGTCCCCCCGGGGATGGAGAGGCTCCAGGTAAACAGCCCCTTGCGTAACCGGCTGGTTCTTCCACTCCGCCAGCTTCTCTCCCTGGCAGGAATGTGCCACCGGGAGCATGTGGGCTTGACTGGTTCTGCAAAGGTGTTTTGATCTTGGGGGGAGGGGAGGAGGCTGGAAGCCAGGATTCTTGGTTCAATCCCCAGCTTGGGGAGCGGAGGGGAGTGGAGTGGGGTCTAGTGGGTTAGAGCAGGGGAGGCTGGGAGTTAGGACTCCCGGGTTCTGTGCCCAGCCCTGAGAAGGGAGTGCAATCTAATGGGATAGATGAGAAACTGAGTCACAGGTGCCTAGATGCTTGGTAAACAGTGAGAAGGGGAAGTAGAACCCAAGGGTCCTGACTCCCATGTGCCACCGTGCTCTAACCACTAGACCAGCTTGCCCCTGCTAGAACTGGGGATAGAACCCAGGAGTCCTGACACCCAGCCCCCCACCAGCTCTAGTCATGAGCCCCCCACCGGCAGGCAACTGGGAGCCAGGACTCCTGGGTTCTGTCCCTAGCACTAAGAAGGGCTTGCACGCTAGTGGGATAGAACTGGCAGGGGGTTGAGAGTCAGGATTCCTGGGTTCTATCTTTGGCTGTGCTGCTAACTCGCTGTGTGACTTTAGGCAAGTTCCGATGCCTCAGTTTCCTCAGTGAAAAGAGGCTTATCATGATGCTGCCCCACGTAGTGGGTAGACGCTGCACTGATCTTGGGGACCTGCTAGGCCCAGCCCAAATGTACAATGGCTGTCTGGGGCACAGGCAGGGCAAAGAGCCCGGAGGCCAGCACTGTAACTAGTGAAAGGGCCAAGCCTTCAGGCCAGGAAATGCCAAGCCGGGCAAAGAGCTGGGGAGAATCCAGCAAGCTCCAGCCAACCCTGGAGAGGAAGAGACAGATCAAAGCTTGACAGCAAGGTGGAGCTCATGAAAGGCACCTCATCTCTGCTCTGGGCAGATGCTTGTTAATTACATTCCTCAAGAGGGAGGGGAGTGTTTGCCCCACTGTACCAAAGGAGAAACTGAGTCACAGATGTCTAGCTGCTTGTTAAACAGTGAGGAGGGGAAGTAGAACCCAAGGATCCTGACGCCCATCATGCTCTCTAACCACTAGACCAGCTTGCCCCTGCTAGAACTGAGGATAGAACCCAGGAGTCCTGACTCCCAGCCCCCACCAGCTCTAGTAACGAGACCCCCACACCCGTGCCAGAGCTGGGGACAGAACCCAGGAGTCCTGACATCCAGGCCTTGCCCCCTTGCTACAACCATTGTCTGTTCTTCATAAGCCAGTCTTGGGAGACAAATTTTAAAGAGGCGCAGGCACAGAGAGCTACGTTATTACCCTAATTTTGTTCCTATTAAGGCCAGCTGCTATTTCAATATGGTGATGAATATGTGATTTATGAAAGCACTGTTGGGGCCCTGGCTGAGATCAGGGCCCCGTTGGGCCAGGCGCTGCCCAGACACACAGGGAGAGACAGTCCCTGCCCCGGTTGAGATCAGGGCCCCGTTGTGCCAGGCGCTGCCCAGACACACGGCAAGAGACAGTCCCTGCCCCGGCTGAGATCAGGGCCCCGTTGGGCCAGGCGCTGCCCAGACACACAGGGAGAGACAGTCCCTGCCCCGGTTGAGATCAGGGCCCCGTTGGGCCAGGCGCTGCCCAGACACACAAAGAAGTCCGCCCCAGCTGAATCAGCTGGGCCCACACACAGGGAGAAACAGTCCCTCCCCAGAAGGTGCCAGGCGCTGCCCAGACACACAGGGAGAGACAGTCCCTGCCCCGGCTGAGATCAGGGCCCCGTTGCGCTGGGCGCTGCAGAGACGACAAAGATCTTCCCATCTATAGCGAGCAACTGAAGTTGAGGGAATGACTTGGAGGGCGTCCAGAAAGCAGGGAGATGTGGGAAGAGAAACACACCCACCCTCTGACAGAGGGGCTATTGCCCTCCCCCGATCCCAACGCTCTTAGATGATATCGTATTCAAAACACGCAGGAAAAAAAGTTCCCTCCTTCGAGCCGGAATCGAACCAGCGACCTAAGGATGACTCTGTTCACACTCTACAGTCCTCCGCTCTACCAGCTGAGCTATCGAAGGAATAGGCAGAGTTTTTTCTGTTGCTCTTCTTCATGGTGTCTGCCTGTCCACCTAGGCACTAACTTCTTTGCCTGGCTTTTGGTTCCGATCCTGCTCCCCTTCCTCCTCATCTGTCTCTCTTCCTTCCCTCCATCCCTTGCGAGACACAGAGGCAGAAAGCAAATGATCACGGTTTTCAAGTACATAAAAGGTTGTTACAAGGAGGAGGGCGAAAAATTGTTCTTAACCTCTGAGGCTAGGACAAGAAGCAATGGGCTTAAATTGCGGGAAGGGTGGTTTAGGTTGGACATTAGGAAAAACGCCCTAAGTGTCAGGGTGGTTAAGCACTGGAATAAATTGCCCAGGGAGGTTGTGGAATCTCCATCATTGGAGGTTTTAAGAGCAGGTTAGACAAACCCCTCTCATGGATGGTCTAGATAATACTTAGTCCTGCCTCGAGCGCAGGGGACCGGACTAGATGACCCCTCGAGGTCCCTTCCAGACGTCCCATGACTGTGTAAAAAGAACATCTTTCCCAGAGAGAGATGTGGCAAACAAACACCTAAGGGCTCTGCGAATGGTTGTCATGACCATTCTACTGTGGTGGGTAATCGGCCGCCTGTGGGCTATGTCTAAGATTCCCAAAGGGGTCCCCGCCCCTTTATTCGAAACGATTGAGGGGGTCTGCGACAGAAACCGCACACCCCGAAAGGATGAACTCAACGGAGGAACACACTGGGCTCACCGCAGCCAATTCCGGCAACTCCACCTCCGGGCGGATGCACCGCGGGCGACACAGCGGGGCCAGATTACAAAGCACAGTGTCCGGTCCCCTCAGTGGGCGGAAGATGGTGAAAGAGGAGAGCAGGGTGCCCAGATGTCCCCCTATATCAGGGGCTTTGTGTTATATTTGCAAATATACCACCCCCACACACACACACACTGAAAAAAGTGCCCTGATTTTTCACACTTGCTCTCTGGTCACCCTAGAAATGGAAGGACAGAGGACATAGAGAAAGAGAGGGAAGGGGGCAGACCGGGTGAGAGACACAGACGGTGACACGCACACCCAGGAGCTCCTTCTGATCCTCGGTTTGCTAGGCCGGCGGGAGTGAAGGGCTGGGGCTCTCTTACACCCGCAGACCTTGGACCCAGACACACCCTCTCCTGGCCAGCCCTGCCAGGCGTGCACACTAAGAGGTGCCATTCACCGCCCCAAGCACCTCCCTTCGATAGCTCAGCTGGTAGAGCGGAGGACTGTAGAGTGTGAACAGAGTCATCCTTAGGTCGCTGGTTCGATTCCGGCTCGAAGGAGAGCGGGGTCCTGTTTTGCCGGAGGGGATTTGGGGGCTGAAGCTGCTGCAGGGAGAAGGGGAGGGCGGGGGGCTGGAGGCGAGCCCACGCGGAGCAATAGGGGCCCCGCGTCTCGCTGCAACAGAGGCAGCTCGACACACACTGAGACAGCGGCACGCGGAGCTGGCAATATTCCCACACGCGCGAGCAACGCGCGTGCTGAGGAATGCACCCGTGGAAAAGCACAAGAAGCAACGCGGACACGGACACGCACAGGGCAACTTACACACACGCACACACAGCAGTGCCCACACCGACACAGAGCAATACCCAGATTGACACACACACAGCAACGCACACACGGACACGCACAGGGCAACTTACACACACGCACACTGAGCAACGCACACACCGACACATGCTGAGGAGTGCACACACAGCAGTGCACACACCGACACACAGAGCGACGCACACACTGACACACACAAGGAGCGACACACAGTGAGACACTGACACACACACTGAAAAACAAACAGAGCGACGCACACACACATACAGCTGTGCACACACTGACACACGCGCAGAGCAATGCACACACTGACACACACACGCACTGACACACAGACAGAGCAACTCACGCATTGACGCACGCACAGAGAAACGCGCACACTGACATGTGCACACACTGACACACACACAGCAACGCACACACTGACACACACACGCACTCACACATACGCAGAGCAATGCACACACTGACACACACACGCAGCAACGCACACACTGACACGCACACACAGCGACGTGTACACCGACAAACACACACAGAGAGCAAGGCACACTGACATACACAGAAAGAGCAACGCACAAACTGACACGCGCAGAGCAATGCATGCACTGACACACACACACACTGACACACACGCAGAGCAATGCACGCACTGACACACACACACTGACACACACGCAGAGCACGCACTGACACACACACACTGACACACGTGCAGAGCAATGCACGCACTGACACACACACACACTGACACACACGCAGAGCAATGCACGCACTGACACACACACACACTGACACACACACAGAGCAATGCACGCACTGACACACACACACACTGACACACACGCAGAGCAATGCACGCACTGACACACACACACACTGACACACACGCAGAGCAATGCACACACTGACACACACACACTGACACACGCACAGAGCAATGCACGCACTGACACACACACACTGACACGCGCAGAGCAATGCACGCACTGACACACACACGCACTGACACACGCGCAGAGCAATGCACACACTGACACACGCACTGACACACAGACAGGGCACCACACGCACTGACGCACACACAGAGCAACGCGCACACTGACATGTGCACACACTGACATACACACACACTCACACACACGCTGAGCAAGGCACACACTGACACACACGCAGCAACGCACACACTGACACACACTGACACGCACACACAGCGACGTGTACACCGACAAACACACACAGAGAGCAAGGCACACTGACATACACAGAAAGAGCAACGCACAAACTGACACGCGCAGAGCAATGCACGCACTGAGAAACACACACGCAGAGCAATGCACACACTGACACACACACGCACTGACACACACGCAGAGCAATGCACGCACTGACACACACACACTGACACACGCGCAGAGCAATGCACGCACTGACACACACACACTGACACACACGCAGAGCACACACTGACACACACACACACTGACACACGCGCAGAGCAATGCACACACTGACACACACACACACTGACACACGCGCAGAGCAATGCACGCACTGACACACACACGCACTGACACACAGACAGGACACCACACGCACTGACGCACGCACAGAGCAACGTGCACACTGACATGTGCACACACTGACATACACATGCACTCACACACACGCTGAGCAAGGCACACACTGACACACACACGCAACAACGCACACACTGACACACACTGACATGCACACACAGCGACGTGTACACCGACAAACACACACAGAGAGCAAGGCACACTGACATACACAGAAAGAGCAACGCACAAACTGACACGCGCAGAGCAATGCACGCACTGAGAAACACACACGCAGAGCAATGCACACACTGACACACACGCACTGACACACACGCAGAGCAATGCACGCACTGACACACACACACTGACACACGCAGAGCAATGCACACATGGACACGGACACACACTGACACACGTGCAGAGCAATGCACACACTGACACACACACGCACTGACACGCGCAGAGCAATGCACGCACTGACACACACACACTGACACACACGCAGAGCAATGCACACACTGACACACACACGCACTGACACACGCGCAGAGCAATGCACACACTGACACACACACGCACTGACACACGTGCAGAGCAATGCACACACTGACACACACACGCACTGACACACACGCAGAGCAATGCACGCACTGACACACACACACTGACACACACGCAGAGCAATGCACGCACTGACACACACACACACTGACACACATGCAGAGCAATGCACACACTGACACACACACGCACTGACACACGCGCAGAGCAATGCATGCACTGACACACACACACTGACACACACGCAGAGCAATGCATGCACTGACACACACACTGACACACACGCAGAGCACACACTGACACACACACACTGACACACACGCAGAGCAATGCACGCACTGACACACACACGCACTGACATGTGCAGAGCAATGCACACACTGACACACACACGCACTGACACACGTGCAGAGCAATGCACACACTGACACACACACGCACTGACACACGTGCAGAGCAATGCACGCACTGACACACACACACTGACACACACACAGAGCAATGCACACACTGACACACACACGCACTGACACACACGCAGAGCAATGCACACACTGACACACACACACACTGACACACGCGCAGAGCAATGCACGCACTGACACACACACGCACTGACACACACGCAGAGCAATGCACACACTGACACACACACGCACTGACACACACGCAGAGCAATGGACGCACAGACACACACACACACACACACAAATAGCAACCCACGTTGGCACAGAGATGGCACTACGCAGCCAGGCCGATGCACACACACACACACACACACACGTTTCCCCGGAGAGACAGAGCACGCTAGCCACACACACTCGGGCAGCAGTGCACACGCACAGCGTAATGCACAGGCAATTCTCACTCACACATGCTGCCGCAGACACAATGACCCACACAGCGACCACGACACACACACACAGAGACCCCCGCAGTGATTGTGTCAACGTGAGCGTGTGAGACAGCAACACACACGCATTTGCTGATACAGAGAGAGCCAGTGCCCCCTAGAAGGGAGAGGCCCCCATCCCCTCTCCCGCCCCCCCCAGCCAGCCAGGTGCCCGGCTCTGGGGCCAGAACAGAGCCAGCGCCCCCTAGAGGGGAAAGCCGCCCCCCTCGACCCAACCCCGTCGTTCCTCGTTAGCAGCGTCCAGCGCCAGGCATCCAGGGGGGACGTTGTAACACGCTAGACGCTGCCAGGGCCGATTTCGTAATCAGTCCCGGAGCGTGACGAAGGCCGCGGGGGCGTCTGGTCCATGCCAGCTCCCCACGCGTTCCTTGAATTCTTCCTCCCGACCGACCGGTGGGGCAGGGCCAGGAAAAACACGCAGAGCGGCTTTCAGACATGACCAGCCCAGGCCAACCAGTTTAGAGGGGGCCCCTGCCTGGGACAGGTCCCCACCCCTCTTTGCCCTGCTCTGGGGAGATTCCCCCCGCCTCCCCGTGACCTGGCATCCCGATATTATTAGGACCATCCCAATATTAGGGGCTTTGTCTTATATACACACCTATAGCCCCCTCCCCAAAGTGTCCCGATTTGTCACATTTGCTATCTGGCCTGCTCACCCTCCCCTTGCCCCCCGCCATCTGCAGCTGCACGCCCAGTTTGCATCACGGAGCTACCCCAAGACTGATCCCATCTCAGTGAAGTAATACAGTGACAAATCAGACCCCGCCCTGAGACCAAGGCCCTCTGGCTACCTCCCCACTCCAGACGGGGTGCCCAGCCTTCCCCTGGCTTGCCCGTTTGCCATCAGGACGGGAGTCGCATGAGCAATGCCAGGTCATGCCTGAGAGCAGGGTCATGGCTGCTGAAGAGCGGGTTGAAAACGGGGGTGGGGAGAAAGGGGGGACAGTTTGACACACAGGAGGGAAATGCCGGATTTCATCGAAATGTCAAAATTGCAAACCCAAATGGCAATCGTTGTTCAGCTTTCCGGCGATTGAAAACAAAATATTTGTTTTGGCTGAAAAGTTCTGGGTTTTGTTGTTGGTGTTGTTGGTTTTTTGGGGGGAGGGATAATTTGTCTGGTTTTGTGTGTGATGAAAACAAAAGGTTTGGGGGCTGCTGATTTCAGCCAAGGTCTGTGCAGCACTTGGCCCAATGGGGACCCCAATCTCAGCTGGGGTCAGTGCAGTGCCTGGCCCAACAGGGGCCCCGATCTCAGTCAGGGTCCGGGCAGTGCTGAGCCCAACGGGGGCCCCGATCTCAGTCAGGGTCCGGGCAGTGCTGAGCCCAACGGGGGCCCCGATCTCAGTCGGGGTCAGGGCAGTGCTGAGCCCAACGGGGCCCCCATCTCGGTCGGGGTCAGGGCAGTGCTGAGTCCAATGGGGGCCCCGATCTCAGTTGGGGTCCAGGCAGTGCTGAGCCCAACGGGGGCCCCGATCTCAGTCGGGGTCAGGGCAGTGCTGAGCCCAACGGGGGCCCCGATCTCAGTCAGGGTCTGGGCAGTGCTGAGCCCAACGGGGGCCCCCATCTCGGTCGGGGTCCAGGCAGTGCTGAGCCCAACGGGGGCCCCGATCTCAGTCAGGGTCCGGGCAGTGCTGAGCCCAACGGGGGCCCTGATCTCAGTCGGGGTCAGGGCAGTGCTGAGCCCAACGGGGGCCCCCATCTCGGTCGGGGTCCATGCAATGCCCAGCCCAGCAGCAACCCCGATCTTGGTCAGGGTCCGTGGAGTGCCCTGAGGATAGAACCCCGAGTCCTGACTCCCAGCCCCCCAACCACTAGACCCCACTCCCCACGCATAGCCCAGTCCAAGTGCTACCGTAACACACATATCACTAGACCAGTAGGAGGACCGTGGGCCAAATCCAGACCTGTCAGATGCTTTAGAACGGGAGGCAAAATGTTTTTATTTCGTCTTACTACCATTTTTATTGTTATTTTTTGTATTATTTTCTCTGGAGCCTGGCTCTTGCCTGGACCTTGACCAAAACATTTGGACCTTGACAAAAAATAATGGACTATCCACGCACTGGACCCTAAACACGGAAGGTACATAAATTACCCCAAGCCTCCTTCTAACAATAACAGGCCTGGGGCCATCTGGCCTCGTTCCCACTTGAGCATCTGGTGGTTTTTATTCTCTTCAGCCCCCCCTTCCCCGCCCAGCGCCATCTTCCGTAAAGGAACCGGAAAGATGGGCCCGACAGACCGGGACGGCCCTGCGTGCTCGGGACTGCACGTCCATCCTGGCTTCGCGTCCCGGGCTGCCAGGTGTCCCACGCCCCAGACGCTCATGCGGTTCAGGAAGCAATTATGCTGATTAATAATAACACCTTGCGCTGCTATGGAACCTTTCAGTCTCAGGATCGCCCATAGTTTTACAAATGCTCATTAAGCCAATTAGCACGGTGCAGCCTTACCAGGGAGGAAAGGGCTCAGGATGGGGAAACTGAGATGTTAATTGAATGACAGCTTTGGGAATATGACCCAGGAGTCCTGCCTCCTACCCCACCCCCGCTCTAACCCACTAGACTCCACTCCCCGCCCAGAGCTAGATATAGAGCTGAGGAGTCCTGGCTCCCAGCCCTGCCCCCTGCTCCAACCAGTAGATCCCACTCCCCTCCCAGAGCTGGAGCGATAACCCTACTCAAGATTTCTTTGTTTACGCAGCCTAGGTTCGCATTACCCCTTTTGGCCATTGTGTCGCACCAGGAGCTTGTGTTCAACGGGTTATCCACCACGACCTGCTTCCCAGGTTCGAGTCCCCCATCCTGTAAGTACGGCCTGCACCCCTGTTTCTAGATGTCTACATTTTGCTGTATTAAAATATACATTGTTTGCTTGGGCCCAGTCTACCAAATCGCTCCGTATCAGTGACCGGTCCTCTTCATTATTTACCACACCCCCAATGTTTGTGTCATTTGTAATCCTGATCCATGATGATTTTATGTTTTCTTCCAGCTCATTGATAAAAGTCATTAGAGCAGGCCCAAGAACCAACCCCAGCAGAACCCCATTGGAAACACCCCTGCACGATGATCATTCCGTTTACAGTTACATTTGGGGAATGTGGGTTCAATTCCTGCTCCACCACAGATGACCTTGGGCAAGTCACTTAAGCCTCTCTGTGTTTCACTTCTGGATAATGGCACGCCCGACCGCCCGGGGTGCTCAGATAGCAGGAAAAGGGGGTACGTCAGAGACCCGGAGAATGGGGCAGCACTGTGTTGTATAATGGGACGAAGGCCTCGCATCTCTCAGAGCCTCGTAGAACAGCTCCACGGATGATTTCCCTCGCTTGGAGAGTCGCACAGGATAGGCCAGAACGTCCGGGTTCCTCTCCACTTCGCTGACCCTTGCCCGGACGTTATTCACCAGGTACCAGGCCTCGCCATTCCTGTCGGAGTAATGGTTCAATGCCAGGACAAGTTTTCTGACATACTTCCGAACGATTCTGTAGGTAGAGGAGGGAGAAATGGGGGTGGGTGGGTTCACCAGACAGAATTTCCAGTGTAAGACATTGTCAAAAACACACTTATGCTGCATCCCTCTCCGCTAGTGATGGCTACACATACAGGATAACAGCCTACTACTACTACCACCTAATGGAGCCCAGCCTTTAGCTGGAGTGGCAGAGGTCGGTGCCGCATTGCTAATGATCGTAGGTTCAAGCACACTGTGGGATTTCTTAGAAAAGGAATCTCTCATACGCTGATCAGAGATCATCAGAACTGACCCAAACCCAGAGCCCAACTTGGGTGGTGGCTGGGGGGAGGGGAGGGGGAGATTTCCATCCCAATTTCTTCCCAAATTCCTTCATCTCTGTGATTCACTGGTGACTACATGTGAAAGCGGCACCCCCTAGTGGCTGCAGTGCATAATGCAATAGAAGGGGCTGGCTGATGAATAAAGCTGGGTGGGAATCCAATTTACCGTTTCAGGGGAAATGCCGTGAGTTTGAAATTTGTTGCTGTTCTGAAATGAAAACAACCAAAAAAATTTCAACATTTCCTGTCAAATGGAAAAATTATTTCAGGCCAATAAAAACATTCTGTTCATTTATATTATTAATTAAATTAAATTATAAAATTATAATTATATTATATTATATTATATTAACATAAGAACGGCCACACTGGGTCAGACCAAAGGTCCATCTAGCCCAGTGTCTTGTCTTCCTGCTTCAGAGGGAATAAACAGAACAGGGACTCATCAAGTGATCCTTCCCCTGTCGTCCATTCCCAGTTTATGGCAAACAGAGGCCATCAACAGACCTATCCTCCATAACCTTATCTAGTTCTTTTTCTAACCCTTTTATAGTCTTGGCCTTCACAACGTCCTCTGGCAAAGAGTTCCACAGATTGACTGTGCATTGTGTGAAGAAATACTTCCTTTTGTTTGTTTTAAACCTGTTTTAAAACACAGGACCTTGACAAATGAGAGAATTGGCCTGAAATCAGCAAGATGAAATTCAATAAAGACAAGGGCAAAATGCTTAGGAAGGAAAAATCAAATGCACTGCTACAAAGTGAGGACTAACTGGCTAGGCAGCCGGACGGCTGACAAGGGCCTGGGATTTCTAGTGGATCGCACATTGCATATGAGCCAACAGTGTGACGGCAGCTGTGAGGAAGGCTAATATCGTTCTGGGGTGTATTAACAGGAGTGTCGTACGTAAGACACGGGAGGTCGTTGTCCCGCTCTGCTCCGCATTGGGGAGGCCTCAGCTAGAATCCGGTGTCCAGTTCTGGGCACCGTGCTTTAAGAAAGATGTGGGGAAATTGGAGAGGATCCAGACGAGAGCAACAAACAGGATCAGAGGTTTAGAAAACCTGACCTAGAAGGAAAGGTTAAAAAAAACCTGGGTGTTTTTACAGCTTTCCAACGCAGGGGTTCTCAACCTGTTCCCCTCGGCTTCGGCTTCAGCCCGGGTGGCGGGCCTCAGGGCCCCAGGCTTCAGCCCTGTGGCAGGGCCAGATTCACCTTTTGTGGGCCCGGCGCCAAATATGGGCACCCCTGGGGGCAATGGAGCTGGTGCAGAGAGGTCGGTCCCCGGAACGAGGGACCGGCCGGGAGCAATGGGACATGGCATGGCGGGGGCGTCCCTGCTCCGCCCAGCCCCGCCCAGCGCGAGGGCAAACTGGCAGTTGCCAGATGCAGAGTGGCCTGCCCGGCCCTGTGCTGCCAGTGTGCCCCTTGCCCTTGGAGGTGGGCCCATGCTGTGCCCCCCCCCCCCCGCAACACCCCACCCCAGACTCCCTATGGCCAGAGCCCCCCCCGACCCAATATGCCCAGCGCCCCCCTCACACCCTCCCACAAATGCACAGCACCCTGCACACCACCACCCCTGCCCAGCGCCCCCCTGCCCACACGGGCCACACCGCAACTGCCCAGCACCCCACACAGAACCCCCACTCCCTAGTGCCCCGACACACACAGATCTTCCCTGCCCCCTCACAGCCCAGCACCCCCCCCCCCCCAGTCTCCCCCAAGCCCCACGTCCCCACCCCCTGCCTCCCGGCCGCACTCACCAGCCCTGCTGGGGGGCGACTGTGTCCGTCGGCCTCAGCCGGCAGCGTGGCCAGGGCTAGTCTGGTTCCCGGGCCGGGAATCGCTGCGGCCCCTCGGGAGTGGTGAGAACAGCCAGGCCAGGGCTTGCCCCGGCCGGGCTCTCTCAGGACCCACTTGCCTGGAGGGGCCCAGCCAAGCCCCCCTCACTGCTCCCCCCCAAACTGCCCGAGGCTGGCCAGGCTTCTGCACCAGTCCCAGGTGGCTCAGCATTGGGGAGACGGGGGGGCGGGGGGCTCCACAGGTGGTGGGAAGCAGAGACTGCCCGGAGCCGGAGGTGCACTGGGGTCCGGCCAGGGGGCAGAGAGGAGCCGGCGGGTGGGGCCAGGGAGCGGAGCCCTTGGCGGGCCGGCCGAGAGGAGCAAGCGGGGGGCGGGCGGGGAGCCAGCGGGTTGTCGGGTTCTCGGGGCGCAGTGCAAGCAGAGCAGGCCGGGGCCCCTTCTATGGGCCCGGCTCCGTGGCGCCATTGTGAACCCGGCACTGGCCCCAGGCGGTGGGGTTTCGGCTTCCTGCCCTGGGCCCCAGCGAGTCTAATGCCGGCCCTGCTTGGCGGCCCCCCTGAAACCTGCTCACAGCCCCCCAAGATTGGCCGGCCCGGCGCAGCCCTCGGCTCGCCCTTCAGGCCGGGACCCCAGGGGGAGCGGCTGCCCTGTTCCCCCTGATCGCTCTCCACCTCGAAGGGGACCCCGACCGACGGGGCCGTGGCCCCGGGGGGAGGCTGGGGTGTAGGGGGGGGCCAACCCTTGCAGGATGGCCCTGGGGCCGCCGGGAACGAAAGGCTCGTGGTTCCCCAAGGATCACGTCCTGTGGGGAAAGCTCCTCCAGGGACTGGGCTCCTGCCTGGCTCGCGGCTCTGTCCCCGGGGTTGGGGAGCCTGGGGATGGGGGGTGTCCCCCCCTTGGCTGTCCCCACTAGAGGGCCCTGGTTATTGCACGAGCTGCTGCGTTTCTTCCTTGCACTCGCTGCTACCTCCGGGGGTTGAGTTTCCTGGGCGAGACGGATGCAGCTGCAGTTCCGGGAGCCAGCCGGGGGTTGAGCCGCTGCTGGCCGGGGTGGGGGGAGCCCTGCCTCCAAGCCCCCTCCGCGCCCAGCCCGGGGGTGGGGGGGCTTTCTCCGGGCTCTGCCCGCACCAGCCCCTGAGCCGGAGCCTGCAGGTGATGGGGAGACCTGGGGGCGGGCGGGGGGGAAGCGCTGGGGCTGGGGGCAGCAAACCCGCCCGGGAATCAGAGGCCAAGTCTCCCAGGCAGAGGGGGAAGGAGACAGAAAAGCGGGGGGGAGGCAGGGAAAAAAAAGGGGGGGCGGAGTCAGAAGGGGGGCAAGATACTCCCAGCCCCCCGCAAATCTGCCCCGGTCCATTGGCATCACCCTGGACAGACTGACTTTCCTGGGGACAAGCTGAAGAGCTGAGAGAGGAAAAGCCAGTTCCTGCCCCCAGCCCAATCTAGGGGATTGTGGGGGGGCGGGAGGGAGGATGCGCTGCTTTGTGGGGGACAGTGCCAGGGAAAATCCCCCAGAACCGCCCCTTTGATTCGGCCCTTTTCTAGCGTTTGCCTCGGAGACACTGTTCCTTGGCACGGGGTCCCCGGTGGGTTTCGTCCTGCTGGGAGGGGCCGGGTCTGCGCTGGAAGAAAGAGACCCGGCGTTGGGGTCTTAAAAACGTCCAGCAAGGAACAGACAAGGAATTGCCAGGCTGAACCGGAGCAGGGGCCTTTATGGTGCCACCAGCCGCTCCAGAAAACCACCTAGCGCACTGGGTGCTCGACCCTTTTCCTCATTTGCGGACCCCCCTAAAAAGTTTCAGATGCAGGTGTGGATCCCTTTGGAAATCTTAGGCGTAGTCTGCAGACCCCTGGGGGTCTGCAGAGCACAGGTTGAGAACCAGTGGCCTATGGTAACGACAACTTTTCGCGGACCCCTTAGACATAGTCTGTGGAGCCCCAGGGATCTGCGGACCACCGGCTGAGAACCACTGGCCTACCAGACAATGGTGGACACAGGTGCCTCCCTAACCCTCTTAGCCAGGGGTTAGTGCAAGTCCTGAAGGATTCGGGGTTAGATCCCGTCCCAACCACCGGCTTATGTCGGTCATCCTTCCACACTGTATAAAAATGCGCATATAGCATTACGAAGATTGAAGTCTGGACAGCTGGATCTGACGGCATAAACCTAAAGACCCAGCTTCCGTAGCTCATAATCTGTGGCCGACAGGGTGAAGCCAGTTAGGGGGATGGGGCAAAATCACCTGTTGTTAGCCTGCAATATATACTGTTTGAGGCATTGGCTGTTGCACAGTGCAGTCACTAGAGGGAGACAAAAACACACATGGTATTAGCCTTGGGAACAGAGGCATTGGCTGTTGCACCGTGCAGCCACTAGATGGAGACAAAAAACTTAAGTGGTGTTAGCCTTGGGTACACTGAGGCACTGGCTGTTGCACGGTGCAGCCACTAGAGGGAGACAGAAACCCCACCTCGTGTTCTCCTGGGTTAGACATCCCAGAATGGGAGGATGGGATCAGAGTAGTTCCAAAAAAATTTCCAAGAGAACATTTTCCCACTGGAAAATGCCATTTCTTCGACATCAAAACATTCTGCGGGAACTTGTTGGTTTCTGCAGAAATTTCATTTCGGAACGACTGGTTTTTTCCCACGTTTATTTGGTTTTCTGTTCTATTATAAAGAACAATAGAACATACCATTTAAAAAAGCCCAAATCAAAATGAAACATTTCAGTTTTACTGAAATAAGACATTTTGGTTGCCCCGACAGAAGGCGATTTTTGTTTTGTTTTTTTTTTTTTAAACAGGACATGGGGACATTTTTCTCCTTGCGGAATGAAAGCCAAATTTCAAAATCCCAGGATTTCCCTTGAAATGGAAATTCTGGTGCCCACCCAGCTCGAGTTGGGACGGAGCCCTAGTCCCCCCCAAAACAGGGGAATTGCTGATTTCAGGAACCGCCACCAGATTCCAGAGCAAAGCAGCCAGCCTGCCACCCTGAGCTGGTGAGATTTTCCAGGGAGCAGCTGGTACTGAGTGGGGGGTGCTTCCTTTTTTCCCCCAGGAGCTGGTAGCTTTCCATGAGGAGTCGGCGCCTCTCTGCAGGGTGCAGCGGGCTGGCGGAGAGCCCTCCGCAGGGACGCCATGCAGGAGAATTATGAGACGCTGATATCTCTGGGTAAGAATTCACTCTCCCTCGCTTAGTGGTTTGTCTAATAGGCCTGAAGAAATGTGAGCGCCTTGGATTCCTGCAGGGAGAAGATCAGCCCCTAGAGATCCCATGAGAGACAGAGAGAGAGAGACCGTTTTCCACACCACACACCCCTCTTCTCCCTGAGGGACATTCAGAAACAGCCAAGTTGCTAACCTCCCCAGAGACTTCAGTGGGGGCAGAAGGGCTGTAGGTACTTGTGCTTCACAGTGACTAGCAGGTTTGCACCTGTGGCTAGCAAGTATCCGCTCAGTTTTCCCCAGCCCTGCCTCCTTACAGATTTCCCCTTGTCTCTGCACCTGGAGAATCCAAGCCAGAGATCTTTCCCCTGCAGAGTTCTTTTACTGCGCATTAAGCCCGGGCTCTGACTCTGGTTTCAGCCCAAGCCCCTCTTCTGTCTGCACATTCTGACTCAGGTCGGTGAGCACGCAGGACCGAGGACCCTACTTAGAAGGGTGGCCCGAGTCCAAGCCCTGTCGTTTTGCAGTGTGGACACAGCTCAAGCCGCAGACCTGAGCGCAGTGTGGACGTGTTGCCCCGGCTCTGAGACCCGGGGCTAGCAATTGTAAGCCCAGATTTACAATGCAGTGCAGACACTCAAGCGCCGACTTGGAAACACCATGTTCAGAAGCCAGGATCCAGATTGACAGTGTGATGTGGATATGCCGTGAGCTCTTGCTGTTTGAGCAAGCCTGGTGCAGTGGTGAGGGTCTTTGCATTGGGTGGGGGAAACCAGCCTTTGATTCCCTGCTCTGCCATGGACTGTGTGTGCGTGATCTTGGGAAGTCACTTAGGGAACATCTACATGGCCAACGACAGCCCGCCCCCGTCCCTAAGCTTCAGAGCCGAAGCTCCGACCTGAACGTCTACATGGCTATTTTCAGCGCCGGAGTGAAGTCTGTCAGCATGGGCTCTGGGACTCACTGCCGCGGACTGCTGCTTGCAGTGTAGACACACCCTTAGTGTTTCTGGACCTCAGGTTCTGGTCTGTAACACGGGGATAACAGCTCTGCCCTATGTTTAGGGCCCACCAGATTCACAGCCCTGAAAAATATGTCACGGACCATGAAATCTGGACTTCTGTGCGCTTTTACTCTATGCTGTTGGGTAAAAGTATACAAAAGTACACAACGTTTCTCAAACTGGGGGTCCCCACCCAAAAGGCTATTGTAGGGGGGGGGGTCACGGTATTGCCACCCTTCCTTCTGTGCTGCTGCTGACTGCAACGCTGCCTTCAGAGCTGAGCACCCAGCCAACAGCTGCTGCTCTCCGGCCCCCCAGCTCTGACAGCAGCACAGAAGGAAGGGTGGCAATACCGTGATCCCCTACAATAGATTTGCGACCGCCTTTTGGGTCGGGACCCCCAGTTTGAGAAACGCTGAACCTGAAGAGCTTTGCGTGTTTCTATTTTGCCGTTTTTAACTACCTAGTCATGTTTGGTTACAGCACCGTGAAATTTAAGATTTAAATAGCTGAAACCGTGACGTGCAAGATTTTTAAAACGTTATGGCCGTGAAATTTACGCAAATGGGCCATGAATTTGGCAGGGCCCTACCGATATAGAGGACAATATGTTATTCACCAACAGCAGTCAAATCCTGTCTATGTCGGAAAACATCAATTTCATCGCACATGCACAAAGCAAGGAAAATCTATTTCATAAGAACATAAGAACGGCCCTACTGGGTCATCTAGCCCAGTGTCCTGATCTGCGAAGGTCCATCTAGCCCAGTGTCCTGTCTTCCCACAGTGGCCAATGCCAGGTGCCCCAGAGGGAATGAACAGAACAGGTCATCATCAAATGATCCATCCCCTGTCACCCATTCCCAGCATCTGGCAAACAGAGGATTTCCAGTGATAATCATCAAAATTCGTGGCTGGACAAAGCAAGGAAAATGCTGCTGGAGAACTTACTAGAGTTTGATTTAAGGCAATTTACTTGGTAGATTCCTAGGCCAGACGAGACCACTATAAACATTTCGTCTGACTTCTTGTCTAATACAAGCCAGAGAACTCCCCGAAATAATTCCTAGAGCAAGATCTGATGTGAGGTTGACCATTTGTGTGTTAACCATTATAAAACTTTAACTTTCTGAATCGCAATGTCTACTGTCATTAGAGAATTATTATCGGGGGTCGCCCCCATAATTTCCCACAACCGTGGGCACTGAAATTGGTGATAATTTTAAAAAATGCTTAAAAATAAACCTGGGTGTTCTCCATCAAAATGATACCAAAATAAAAATTGAATTCTCCCAAAGCCTAACTAGAGACTGAAAGGAGCTCAGATGTTGTGGCAATAAGGAGCCACGTAAGAGAGATCTGAAGTCCATGGAAAGTCAGTGGTCATGCAGCAGACCCTGCACTGTTGATCTATCTTCTTTTGCCTTGCGCTGCTTTTGCTAAGGGAGGGGAAGCTGGGCTGGTGGTTGTCCCAGGCAAGACCACCCTGGCCTGCAGTGCGTCTAATCGCCGTCTCATCCGTTTCTTGTTAGCAGAAGAGATGGCCATCAGCATGCCGCGGATCACCGCGATGGCCGAATCCCACCGCAGGGAGCTGGTGTCGGGTAAGTCCCTGCAAGTCAGAGGCGACGAGAGATTTGCAAAAGTCGTTAGTGCCTTAGGAGGGTGGGGGCCCCAATTTGAGCCACCTCTCCCGGAGGCTGAAAGCCC